TACAGGCTACAATAATAGAAATGAAAAATGAAAATGGTGACCGAACATTTATTATCTTGAGGTCCTCGGTGTTTTGAAAACACGTTAAGCCTTTGGTACCGGCTGCGTCTGCAGTCGCTGGTACCCACCAATCGTCAATGGGGCCGCATTGTGGATTATGGTTCATTCTGTTCATGCCTCCGCAATGAATTGAATAAAGAGAATCTGTGATCCAGCTGTTTAGGGATTAATAGGCTGGTGATGATGAAAAATCCCATGACCCTGTACTTTTTGCCAATAAACAAAACACATTTTTAACAGCACCTTTCCGTGTCTATGTAATCCACCTTACAAAGACCACAGTAGAATAACACAGTCGACTCAATTTGCAAAATAGCTGTTTTAGCAGAAAATATTGCTGCTTCAGTCTGCCTCTGAATCTAAGAAACTTTAGCAACCTCACTTATTCACACTTTATGAAATGTCTCTACTGCTGACCATGACCCAGAACCATGGATCCAGTGTCTATTGGTGGATGCTAACGAATATAGAGGGACAAATCGGGATTTCTATAGGATTATGTCTGGTTCCCTAGGATAAGGAGACATCAGAACTTACTTTTAAAATAGTATGTATATTGAGTACCCGTATATCCCTGGTCTGTCATGTTTAGCCATACTGGCCACTTGAAATAAATAAAAATTTATCGCTTGTTCTGCTGTGGCGAATGCTACACGCTCGATATGTATCGCGATATTTAACGTGATATTTATCTAGTAATATTTTCTTATACTACACACACGATACGAATCACGTCAGTACGACAGTAAATTTCATTGAGTACACTCGTAAGTTTCGTATTACAATATAAATAAAGCTATGAGTGAGAATATAAAATACCCAAGACTTTGGACTGTACATAGGGTTAACAATTTTTTTTCTATCAAATATAGTATTTTCGAAGCTGTTATCTCTAAAATATAGTAGAAGGCAAAAAAATGGAAAAACATATAGTATGTGTTTAAAATATTTACTTTATTTTTAAAATGAGTATATTGTAGTATAGTATGAGTATATTTTTTGCTGCTCTATACCTTAATAATACAGTTTTTATTTGTAAGAAAGCTTTTATTGGCAAAAACCTGCTTTAAGCAAAATATAGAAGTTTCGCCTACTTTATATTTTTTTAGGAATATAGTATTTGATCCCCTAATATAGTAGAATACTATATTATATAGTAAAGTTGGCAACCCTAATTGTACACATTTTCCGTAGAAGCACCAGATCGCTTCGAATCGGTTATTTTTTTAATTCTTTCCTATTTAATTCGATTTTAATGAGTTTATCTTCGCAATCGCTTTGGTAGTCGCGCCAGGTTTAATTCTTTTTTAATTTCAAATAGTTGCTCATAGTCATTCGCCATTTTCACTTTATTTACTTGAGCTGTCCCATACCTCTGGTAGTGTTTTAACACTAGTATGAATTCTTTGAAGTCCTTTTGGTTGTTTGTATGAGGTACGGCGGGCGCCGCCGCCTCAATATGCGCGTCCTCTTCCATCGCTGACAATATTAATACTGCCGCAATAAATATCGATTAGAGACTAGACGCTCGATATTTATCAACGATACTTGATACAAATCGTGGATTTTTGGATTTCTAGAAATCCAGCGGGCCGTACCACGATATGTGATACTCTATACTACAGACTCGATAAATATCGTGATCCTGGATTACGATCCAAATATCACGATAAATATCGAGCGTGTAGCATTCGCCATTGCGAAGTTTTTTCATGTTCGACTTTCTTGATGTTATTTTGAAATATGAAATGTTATTTTACCGCAGTCTCCCTTAAATAGAGATAGGTTACGCAGCTAGGCGCTCTGATTTAAGCAAGAAATTCGTTCCTTTTTCTGTTGTTAAACTATACAAAGCACAGTAGAAAAATCGTGTTTAGCAAATAATATAACGCTTTAACTTACAGAAATTCACTCGACTACTTACCTTGACATTGCAGCTTTGCAGTTCCTTGGATTGGCCTTCATAAGTATTAGGTATTATTTCATGAAGTATCGGAAATATTATAGGAAATGTTTAGGGTCCCTCGCTTGCTTAATATTTCTTACGTTATTATTTATTTATTACGAAAAAATAGGTTCCTGAGGAGTTTTTAAAAATCTTAAGTTTATGCGGACGAAATCGCCGGTGACCGCTAGTTCTGCAATAAAAATATAATAAAGTTGCTTTATAATATCGCATCTGCCACTACTACTGAGAAATCCATGATCATGACGCACCAACCACTTGGTGATTGAAAACCATTACCGTAACTCGTGAAACTCTCGCAAACTTACATAATGTAGTAAATAATTAAGTTCATTTTATAGTCTCTGTTAAAACATATTAATGGGAATAAAATCAATCAAAAATTAGTTTACTAAGTAAGAAGTTGATCATTAACTATGTATGTATACCCACTGGTTTTTTTTTGTATTATTGTGTGTACCAGCTGAAGAACTGTATTAGTACTCAAATGACTACGGACGGGGGGCACTTTGTTTGGCCACCCCCAAAACGACACGTGTATATTGATGTGGGTTGAATTACTAACGATCTGTTCATATATGTGACCTAATTGGTACATATGTAGATTATTCGGACTAGTTAGTGGTTGCCTATTTGTTCCATATACCTACTTAGTTATACTGATAACTGATGGCTTTCGTATACGTATTATTGATATAGAGCAGATGTCGATTAAGTTTTTCAATCCATATCACTTGGAAAATTGAATTCGTCTTATTACGTACATGTATATATTTGAAGACCTCCGTGGCCGAGTGGTTTATACGCCGGGTTACAAGGTGTCGCTGACTAGACAGATCCCGGTTTCGAATACCGGTGGGGGCAGATGTTTGTGTGATGAATACGAGCGTTTGTTTAATGTTTAATATGTATTTCTATCCATTACCCTAGTATCCCATAAGCCTTACAGTGCTTACTTTAGGCCTAGGCTATTTGGTATGAGTGTTGAAAATATTAATTTATTTATTATTTTATTATTACGCTGCATTTACCGCTAAATGCCACCACAAACATCACACATATACTTACACAAACTTGGTTAGCGACTCCATAATGAAAAATTATACATTAATGGAATGCAGGAAGTGAACTGCTTTTAATCAAGACCTAGTAAGGTGCTGAAAAAATACAGCTAGAATATCAGTGGATTCACATTAGAAAATTTTGCAATAAAATATGTTTACATGGATTCTATCAACCGAATTTTTAGAGTTGCTTTACATAATTATGCGTCTTTTAAGGCAAATGCAAAATAACTTTAACATACCTACACAATTATTTGCTGTAATAGAACAATTAATGTAAAGAAAAAAAATAATGCAGTAATACTTTCAGTATCAAAAAATTGTACCATCGTAAACTCAAGCACACTTATCAAGCTCAATTGACGTGGTAAAGTCATAAAGAAATGCTTGTAATGTAAAGTAATTAAATCGCCTTACAAAGAAATCATTTGAAGGGCAGGTAGGTATTCGCAAATTTGCATATACAGAATTAGGTTCCTAAATAAACTAAACGCGAGTTAACATGAACATGTTGGATGTGTGGCGAGCAAAAACAATCAAGGTGTAAGGTCAACCAACACTGCAGATGATGCGATAACGCCCCCGCTGTTAGCGCATAAATTCCAGAATCTCGCCCCTCATAAACTACGACTGGATGTGTTTACTACTGCTTAGGGTGTTTTCCTCTTTTAAAAAATAAAAACATTTCTTGACTTACTATATTAATTATTTTCCCCATATTTAACTAAGTATCATCAGAGATTAATTTTATTTCTTAAAGTTTTTTTTAAAAAACCCAACTTTTGCAAAGATTGCAAAATATAGCTTAAGTACATTTTTTTCATAGTTATTCATCAAAAATGTGTCCGATAGCTGTATAAATAACTTCTAAAGTTAAATCGAGTTATATTATAGGTTTTAGGTAAAAGTGTTTCTGATATAATTTCACTTACTTAAGGATTGATATATACTGACCATCAACCGCGACACGTCCGTATTAACTTTAGGTTTTTTTGAAATACCATTTCAGGTTATAAGTTGCCTGTGCGTAAAATTTCATTCAAATCCGTTCAGCCGTTTCTGCGTGATTAAGTAATACCATACAAACAAACTTTATATTTATAATATTAGTAGAATAACGTAAAATACTATAAGGTACCTTTTAAAAAATAATAGTATTTTTATATAAAACGCAGCATACTGTAAATAAATGGGACGAGATCACGACATCACAGCAGTGAAGCCAAGCGTGGCTTGAATCGACTCTTCATTTCCACTTGTACTATTTTCATTGTAAGTCGCATAAGATGACACGTAAGTTTAGTTTGCTTTATCATAGTTATATTTGAATTTAGATAAATGTAATATAGTTAACATTAACACAAATAAAAAACGCGCAAGCAAGGAGAGAGATTTCTAAAATTTTAACGTTAAATTGTTCAATTACAATGTGTGTGTGTAATGATCCGTTTTGAAAATGAGTGCACTATGCTTGTGTACTTGTAGAAAGTTTCACTGATAACATTTCTTTGCAACAGTGTGTGTGTTCGTTTCAAATTTGTGAGTGTTATGCGATACGATTTCCTAGTTTTGCTGATATAATAATGATTTAATACGTAAAGAAAATCTTTTTTCACTCTTTAAAACACATTTTGCGCACATAAGAGTGTGAGATTTTTGTTCATATGTAGAACGAGTGCATGAAGTTATTATTTTGTTAGGTTAATGAATAAAACAAAATTTACAAACGCTACACATGCGTTTGACCTTACACACACAAACCTACCATAATTATTTGAAATGTCACATTCATAGGTACACACCATTTATATACACTCAATGATAAAAAATCTATGTTCTTTGACATAAGTCATAAAAACTTCTAGTCAATTTTATAGTTTCGTTTTTTTTTGTTTGTTTTTTGAGTGTGTATGCTGTTGGTAGCAGATGATCTTTACAGCGTCACCGGGTTTAGCGACGGCGAGATCCTAAGGGGACCTCAAGTCGAGAATTGGCGAGTGCCTCTAGAGGTATTCCAGGCGGATGGCATCTCCCCACGGGGGGAGTCTCCTCTCCGTCTGGAGCCTCTAAACCACTCGAACCTGAGGGGGTCCGCTCAACTAGAGGGCGTGTCTGAGACTCGGACCTCGGCTCTAGTTAGCCGTTGTCGTAGAGGGCGGTTATACACGCCCAGGTACGTACCTGTACCTGGTATAGCGTGTCCTGTGCAGACCGGGTCTTCGCACTCTTATCCTACGGGTGCGGTGTCTGCCTAGTTCTAAGCTAGTGTGCAAGTATGCTAGCTGTGTATTATTGGTGTTTGTGGCTTGGGTGAAAGGAGTCGGAGGCGTTAAAATTTTCGAGTTATCACCGCCAGTGATAGGCGCAGCATCCGAAGCGCAGCTGCGGCAGTGGGCGCGCGGGGGCTCCGAGAGCAGGCTGGAGCGGGCAGTGCTTGCGGGGCAGGGCCGGCGGCTGCTGGCGGTGACAGAGGCTCTTCCCCTAGCGCACCACCTGCCGGCGCTCGTGGCCAAGTGCCAGGCGCTCCACGCGGCCGTCGAACGCGGCTCGTTAGCCGAGCTGCAGGTACTACTGGTAATCAACAACCTTCACCCACATCCACATTCACACTACATATATGAATAAAATAAAGTAAAACCACCCAATCATTGGCACTCTTCCAATATTTGGCACTTTAAGTATAGTTCAAATTCCAAATTTCGTAATGCTGTACATTGGTTATCGGAACGGTGCTGCAAACTTTCAAATTTTAAATCGTACCTACTAGGATTTTCTTTCTAATATACCAAGCTTGAATAAATTATCCATGGCTCCCTTTTTTCGGACTAAATCCAAACGTGTCAATAACTAAAAGAGTGCCAATGATTGGGAATTCCCTAAATCAGTAAACTCCAAACAATAACAATAAAAACCTTGCACTACGAATATCCCTTTTCTCATAATAAAATGGCAATGACATTGCAAACCTTACACTACAAACATCACTCCTCTACATAATATTCATCATAGCCAACAAGGTTGTGATAGCAAATCAGATATCAATTGCCGACTAATTTGGATCACAAGCATTTAGAACATTTAGAAATATGATAATAGACAAAAGTTTAAAACAGTTGTCCACAATGCTTAAGTTATAGAAAAAACTACTAAATTTTTCTTGATTTAATTTTAACTCTTTGAGTATCGTTAATAGTTCTCTTCATTTTTTACTTTAAATAAGATGTCGCGACTTAAGTTGGAACACGATTGTTAAGAAAGGAAGAACATGTCGCATGTCGCCTAGATGATAACACATTAAAGCATTAACAGAAATACGTTAATACTTATATCCAGGAGCTGCTAGACTCTGATTACAATCGTCGGAAGTACCTAATGTGCCGCGATGAAGCCGGTGTCAACCTTTTGCACAAGGCTATCTTCTACGACTATATGGACATCGCCACGTGGCTGGTCCACCAATGCCCAGAATTGGTGCACGACAAAGACTCCGTGAGTGTTGTAATCTTAATTTTTTTATTATTCAAATATCATGTCATTTTGAGGAGGTTTATGATCCGCTTTAGATTTCAAAAAGAAGGTTCATTTATAATGTCGCAATCGAGCGAGCTAACTTCTTAAGACAAATATGCAATCCGGAGAATACTAAGGTTACGGATAGAATACATATACGGATACATATACAGTGCAACCTTAATATAACGTATCTCAATATAACGACTTCTTTGATTTAACAAATTCTTCGTAATCCCCTTGAATTTTCGATAAGAGCCAATGTAAAATATACCTTTACATTGCGAACATTTTTTGGGAACAACCTCTTTATAACAAAATTTCAACTATCAAAAAAAGGGTAAATACCTCTAATTAACGAATTTTGTCAACCAATATAACATTACCATCAATATATGGACCTTAATCCCATAGTACGTGATTCATGTCACGCCAGGAAACTATTTTTTTACCTCTTTATAACAAATTTTAACATCAGTATAACAAACCTCAGTGTAAAGAATTACTCAATAAAATACATATAAAAATCCAAGACTAAGGTATAAATGCTCGTATTCATCATACTCACATTTGTCCTTACCGGGATTCGAACCCGGGGCAACACCTTTAAACATGGTATGGTACATACCACTCGGCCACGGGGGTCATAAAAAATAATAGATTCAGAAAATTGAAGAACTCATTTATCTGGTGCATGAAGATGTCATAATATATGTGATAATATGCAGGAAGGTCGCACGCCGCTGCACTACGCGGCGGTGTGCCGCGACGAGGCGTTCGCGGCGGCGCTGCTGGAGGGCGCGGGTGCGGCGCGCGGCGCGCGGGACGCGGCCGGCCGCACGCCCGCACACTACCGCGGCGCCGCGCGCACTCAACTCTCGCTGCCCGCGCCAGACGACATGCCGCGCGACAACGGCAAGAACCCGCCAGGTCAGTTGGCAAACTCCAAACTTTAATCATTTTAACTACCAATACTAACATTTTTGTTTCTTAAGTTTTGACGCACACCACTCATTAAATAATACAGATTTTTGTAAATACATTTTTTACATAGAACTAGACGTATCGCATTCTTTTCATGATGTCTAAACACCGTGAAAAGGATGCTTTATTTTCGAAAATAACGGAAATTTAAAAGCTTTCATATGCTTTTCGTTCTGAAAGTCATTCATAATTTTCACTCTATTTACAAAATAAAATGGGCAAGTAAAAATAAGAAGGTGTAATATCTGAAATTAAAGAAATACTTTTAAAATGGGTAAACAGAAAATGTTGATGTTGGTGATCATTTTTAAGTTTGAACGAACGTAGCATCTGCTACTACGTAGTTGCTACGACGCTTGTAATAATATCTCGTAATATAAAAATAGACAAAAAATTCCTTCATGATAAAAAACTAAAATTTTATTTATACATTTATTATAAACAAAACATAAACGCAAAAAATAACAAAATTTTGATCTGCTACGCATTTTCGTAGCAGATGCTACGAAGTTGCTACGAACATTAAGACATCTTTCCAATATCTTAAAACGTATGTTACGTAATGTTAACCAGCTTTTTTTATATTTGAAGAAATCGTTCTTTGTAAACATTACAGAAAATATGATTTAGTTTAGATTATTAGGAGAAGTTTCTTTAATACCTTTTGTTAGAAACGCGACTGCGGAGCAGACATAGAATCACTGACTCGTGCAAAGATTTATATGTATTAATTTAACTTAAAGAACTTTACGTATTTTATGGTGCAATTAGGAACTTTTTAATATAATACAGTAGTTTCATATTATTATACATATTACCCAAACCCAACTAATATTAAGAGCAAGTGGAGTTCAGTTCTGAAGAAATCTGATGCTGCCTAAAAGTGCTGCTCCAGACAATTTCACCTCCCTGACCTAAACTTAATCGTCTGTACAAGCCCTAGAATATTAATAAACTACAGAAACACAACACTAGCAAATATAGTGTTATATTTCGATGTGGCATCCTATAGAATAAGGCTTTTTCCCCAAACGTGGGCGTATATTCAAGCGGATAAAATCGGGAAGTCAAACAAGCGTAATTTTTGAGTTGTGAGGCGCGTAATTTCAGCTGCATTCGGTTTCATAAAGATAAGTCCTGTTTGATTCACACCGTGACACAAAATGAGTCGGACTTTTCTAAAACTCACTACAACTCACAAAGTCAAAAAATTACGCTCGCTTGGCTTCACCCTAAGTGAGGAAGATCTCTACGCTAAAAATGTTTTTGCCAAATGAGGTGCAAAATTACCTTCAATTCCTGAGAAAAGTAAAGGACGGTTCTGAAAACTCTTGAATACGATGAGCATGCGACTGACAAGTTGACTGTTGTTTCCGAGCAACAATTAATGTCCGTACTCAAAGACGTAATTTAATTCAATTGTTGTTAGTGTCGTATTGCATCATTCTTCGTAAAGAAAGTGGAAGCATCGACTGCTTACAAACTTAAAACTCAATTGAAGTCTCTTAGTGGTGGGATATTTAGATCTCATTTACGTTAGTTATAGTCTAGAGGTGTACCTCTTTCTTGTTCTTGTTCGCATGGGCTAGCAACATGGCACCTTTTTTATGATGTGAGATGCTAAGATATGTTAGTGATAATGTGAGGAGCTGGCGAATAAAACGGTATAATTACGCATCTCGACAAACTATTTATTTTTTACAGTTCGGAGGTTTAGGCCCGTTGAATTTGAATCACAACTAATTTTCAAACAAAATCGTCTAAACAGTGTTTAAATTACTAAATTTATAAATTAAAAACGATGCCAAAAGCTCACTGTAGGTATGTCATTCAGTTTAATATAGTTCCTGTAAAATTTAATTTTATGTTATTATACCGTTTTGTTCACCAGCTTCACATATGTTATTTTTAAACTAATTCGGCAAAAGAATGAAGCACATAAAGCTAAGTCACGTTGTAAACATATAAAATTTTTAGGCCACCCAATATTGCTCAATAAAATGTGATAACCCATTATTAGTAGTAAGACTAGTTTAAAGGTCACGTAATTATGTACAAGGAAACAAATTTTCAGCGTAGCACTGCTCACTCGAAAATAGACCTATCTTATACGTGTAAGCTTTTCAATGAAACAGTGCATAAACCGATTGGCTATTGTAAGTAGTCTCCGTGTTTTATGACCGCTAGTAAAACGAAGCATTATTCATTTCTAAATAACCCCTAATGTGTTTACTTCCGCTACTGCGCCCTGCACGTTAAGCTGTTGTTTTATTTTTTACTTATCATTAACTAGCGGTACTTAAGACTTCGTTAAGCCCCTTTGTATGGTATGGTTTGCACGAAAGCACTTTTCTGAATGACCTATGTTAAAAAACATATAACATAGATACTTAAAGTCTAACTCAACCTAAATATAGTTTTTATTAATTGTTCCACTTATACGAGTATAGTGCCTTTACCTTACCAGCTTAGCTTAGCCTAAATCCAAATACAAAGAAAAACACAGTTCTCACCAAGTTTCTTACCGTCTCAATACCAAGTCACTCGCCTTAGATTTGGGCACTGATGGTAGTGATAATGGTGTAACTTTTCAACTTTCACAAATTCTACTTGAAAGTTTACACTGAATCACATAAATAATAGAAGTTGGGAGTTAAAAGGATGAGTAATGTGACTATGATGTGACATTGATACGCGCCTTGCAACCTACTCTGACGACCTCAACCCCTTAAAATGTGAAATTGTACCTACTAGTAACAACTTATCCGAACGCACTAGGAACGCATGCAATCTGTAAGGTGGAGGATACTTCTACTGCTTAGGTGGGCTCTCCAAAACGAGCGGGTAAAAACAATTTCAATTTAACAAGATTTGAATATCATAATGTAAGTCACCTTGGGCTTAATATAACAGACTAAGTCGTTTTACTTTGCTGATTTGGTTGAAAATTGTTTAATCGCCACTTCTAAATTTAAAAGTACTTAACTTTTGTTAATTAATAATATTAATGTGATGGAAGTTGACATCAACACATGTTTTCAATTTTTGATGTCATCTCAATTGAAAGACGACACCGTTTGAAACAAAACAGGGAGAAAAAAATAGTCCTTGCTGAGTTTCTTGCCGGTTCTTCTCAGTACAAGGTCTCCCGCCGTACATTTACGAACCGATGGCGTAGCGTTTGACTTTTACAAGAGCTTGTAACAGCCTAGACTGAATAAATGAGTTTGAGTTAGATTTTAAACGGATCAGTAAAATAAATTAATAAAATCTCTGATTGAATAAAAAAGTAGCTGCAATCGTCTTATCAGGGGCCGTTAAGGTTAATATGTCCTAGTTTAATTAAAAAAACTCAACAAAATCAAGATTACCCAGAGCTAACTTTAGAAACACCTTTTAGGTGTGTGTCAAACTATCACTACACGGGTGTCCGCGAGTCATCACATTATTCCATTACGTTATTCATAATTTCATTAACACGATAAAGGCTTGGCATCGAAGGTGGGGTTGGACGTTGCGTGGTCATGAATATTTATTTTATGGAAGCCTTTCTGCCCTGGAGCGGTGGCACACCCATTATGCTTTTAAACCTATATATAGGCCGGTCATTGTGGTGCGCGAAGGTCACTCATATCAGACCCTCCATAAATCTTATTAAAAGAAACAAGTACTAATTGTTCATGGCTAGAACATTAGTTGCAAAATAAATGGAAATAATATGTAATAAACTGATTTAGCATAGTGACCGTCACCTTTTAAAGCATCAATCATATCACCTGGTAAGGTATCGTTACAGATTTTTCTTTTAAATAAATTCATTTTAAATGCCAAGTTTACACCAAACGAGTTCGTAAAGCAAGTTCGCTTTTATAGTTGAAATGATCTTTAAGTCCGATCAAAATAAATATTTTAAATAACAAAAATTCCGACAGCAAAATTTTGATAATATCAATAAAACATTATGCAGTTCCTCAAAATTATTTTTATGACTTATTTGGCTGGACTATTTATGATATGTATTATATTTCTTTCTTACTATTATGATTTAAATATTAGTGTCTCATATAGGTACTGTGAAAAATTGAAGTAAGTTTCTTTTGGTAACAATATGCTTGCATGTTGACATATTGTTTGGCTGTTAGCTGTTGGTGATTAGATTTTGTTATTAGTCATAAAGATAACAATGTTCTATCTTTTTTTTCCAGATTCCAAAGAATGTGACGGATATGATTTTTAATTCTCTGTCTGTTAATGCTTATATTACAGTAACTAAGTACTTGCCTTCTTTTATATATTAAATGCTGAGGCCACATTTTTATTACAACATCGCAATAAAGTGACAGAAGCTTCAAATTTTAAAGCAGATGCTTTGAAATGGACACTGTGGTATGACGAAGATCGCCCTTATAGGTGTTTACAATAAGGGTGTTATAAATTTCGCTTTATATTCAAATAGTGGCCTAAATAGCTTTAGTAAAAAGAAAATATCTTTTGTACTCAATTTTATTTCTAGCTATCACATTGAGTCCCAGGCAGTGTTGACAGAGAGAATAGAGCGTCATGAGGCACGGCAAATTTCTTTTTATTTCTAATATAGAATGCCTCACGGTAGCAACACGGATTGCGTTCAGAATTCGGTTATGATTGTTATCGCTCCATATCGCACCCACCATCGAGTTGCTTTTCCAACTGTTTTGTAAAAGTTTCGATTATGTTAATCGCGACGTTAGTAACTTCTTGGCACGCTAACTTGTTGCGTCTGAGAATTCATTGTTTTGTAATCTCAAAGGAAAACAATAACAATGCCATTTCAATTTCTTTAATAGTGTATACTTTGTGTTTACTTTCCTATACTATTTTCTTTTATTTATGTACTATCCTGCTGCGCCATACAATATATATACTTTAATATGAGTATATAAGGTTATAAAACAAAGATAAACTGTTTCAAGTTGAGTAGTAATAAACCTACAGTTTTACGTCATTTAACCGGAGATGTAGGCATAGCGTCTCCTTTAGTTGGTTATCCTTGTATTAACACTTTTTTCTTTTGTTAGTTTAATGATTGGTTAACTCATTTAAGATTATTATATTCATATTTTTAAGCAATTAACTGCTAGATATTAAAAACTAAAGACATTTTTATTAGAAAAAAATTCACTCGTCCAGGTTTCAAACGGGATTCGAACGCGCTTCTTCTGCTATCTGGGCGACCTATATACTTGGATTTTTTTATTAATAAAAAATCAAGACATTTTCTTTATTTGGTACAATACAGATAAGTTTTCTTGAGAAGACGAGCGTAGCGCATGTTTTGCATAAATTGCAGCTTTACAGATTCTACAGTAAAATAACGCAACTTTTTTCGGAACGCTTTGTTTTCTGGTAGTAGTAAGATACAGGGTTCCACGGTGTAGGGGATTCTGTTCGTACCGGCAAGGTGCATATCTATTACGACTCACTTTCCTGTCACATAATATTTTTTCGTAACTGGACTCCACTAACATTTAACTAATGTTAATCTCATCTCATCTAATGATGAGATAAGTGATTTGCTGGGTTTTGTATAAAAAAAACAATAAATATTGGACTCAACTAAGACAAAGCGGCCACTAAACCAATGCTTATGTCTCCATCAGGGTCTCGAAGCACCTGCTCAATATGAATTATCCGTATATCTCGGCTATTTGCCAATATTGTTGAACTTTCATAACCCAAACTGATTGACCAGTTTTCCATAATATGGATCTCTAACTGTAAAGGCTTGAAGAAATTTTACTTTCACCGAAATAGAACGTGACATTTGTTACTTTAAAACACTACAATGTTCATATTTATGTACGTAGGTACTGTTCGTTGTACTAAATAATTGACCTGTGTATATTATTACTTTTTAATAGTTACGTGGACTTTGTGATCAATACAATACTGTTGTCATAGAGAAACCCATAACATGACATATGAAATTGTCGATTTCATTCAAAAAACTTCTCAGTATTAAAGTCACTGACTGGTTAAAATTCAATGACACTAAACTTGTGAATTTACAGAATTACAATCATAAGCCAATAAACTAATATGTCTTTTTCAATAGGAAAATCGCGTTATAATAAATTATCTACTTGAAAAGCATAACGAAGAGAAATACCAAAAGGACCTAAGTTGAACCTAAACTTTTCATGAAAAGCATATCAAAGAACCTGCTATTATCATGATAGTATGACTTATAGTATATAATGTTAACGCAATATATCTTAAGGGATATCAAAGATACGACAGTATAATAAATTTGCGTTCAGGAAACAAAATCATATCGACTTTTTAGTCGGTGCATAATAATGTTCTTTTTTCAGCCCTGCTACCTACTTACCCTTTTTTATAGAACACTCATATATGAGGAGCTGGCAAACGGTATAATTACGCATATGGTTTTGGCCATATAATATACTTTATTTTTACAGCCCGGAGGTTTTGGGCCAGCTGAATTTGCATTTCAACTCAGGTCAATCAAAACCACCTAAAATAGTGTTAAAACTACTCAATTAAAAATCACGCCAAAAGCTTACTGTAGGTATGTCATTCAGTTTCTTACTGCTCCTAAAAACTTTAAGTTGATTGATGTAATTATACTGTTTTGTTCGCTAGCTCCTAATATTTGAACTGAAATGAAAGTGTTGTTTCCAATTAATCGTGTTCGAGAGTCAGAGATGGATATACATACTGCTCTCCTTTACCACTGCCACCGACTCGCTTTGTCCATGGCCTTTGGCCTTGGAGCTTTTTGTAACACGAGTATGTGTCTAAGTCATCTGACTCATACCTTTGCATTCTTACTGAATTGATTGTCCCACATAGTCACGTGTGGGCCACGTAGACGGGCTTAGCTCGCCGATCGATAGCCGACTCATTAAACATTAAACCAGTCTGTCTGTACTTCTGCCTGAATAATGTACGATCGGCCTTGACACCCCGCCGACAACGAGGATGATTCCTGTCAAGCGATTGTAGATGTTTTGAAAGCTTATTGAATAGCCATATTTCACATTAAACACATTTGTTACATTTCGGTGGATGTCATTCCTAGTATATTAACGGAATTATTAAAATCAAGTGTTTATGTTTTTTAAATTTATGTTTTGTAGATGAGAAGACTATAATTGATCACCATTATGTACTGAAACATCTCATTCTTAACGCCAACATTCATCTATGACCGCATGAATGCCCATCAGATTTTTTTCTATGCACGAAATTAACAGACGAACTTATTATAAAAATCTGTAGAATAAATATGGTTGAATGTTTTAGATAACTATATTTCCATAAATATAATGATTAACGCTACATAATAAATATACAAACCCCTTAATTAACGATGTCTTGGTATTGGTAATCGATTTTGACTTGGTTACGGCGGTATCCCATTCAGTCACGCACATGTTAAAAACTATTCAATTGATTTTGGTTACTTAATGAGTTCATTCTGAAAAAGTTTTCTAATGGAAAACTCCGAGCTAAATAAAGATAAGCAAAAGGTTTTCGTTAGGTTACTGGAAAATAAATATATTTTAGTGCTTTTCTATTGAGAGTAATTATAATTATACTTAGATTCGAAAATATGCAAAATATTTATATTGTTACGAGTCGGGATGGGGCTCGAAATTATATGCCAGTTGCCACGCTTGACAGTTCTTTATTCACCACTCAGTTCACACAATGAACACACAATGTTAATTACAAAACACTCACTAAACACTGTATTTCACTATACAAGTCACTGAACTATCGCACTGGAATACTTTGGATTCGCTCCGAAATCGCTGTTGAAACTCAACTGTCTCTGCGCGGCGCCAATCGCGCTTATATACGCCGATCGACGCATTCTAGAAAGTACCTGTTAAATTGAAAATTACCTAGCACCCGCGAGTACGAAATACCTACTTATACCTACGCAGGTAACACGCATAATCAAACAAACAATGCAGCAGATGGCGTTGCACTTTCAACCTTACGACGCAATGCATAAGGCTCATTTTAGAATGAGCCGCATTACTCGACCTCTATCGCGACCCGCGGTGATTTGGCAAATTCGATCTCTAGCACTTTCGCGGTTACTTTTCGAGAGCGTTTGTGACAATATAATTAAAACTGTTCTATAAACAAAATACTTTTCTAAGCTTTCATTTCTGTATAATTCGCATTAAGACAGATTTTTGTTTGCATTTTAATTGTAAATATAATACCTTGTACTCTTCAGTTTAATAAGTATGTTGTGTCAGATGTAAGTTGGCCGTCACCTATAATAAAGTTATAATCACAGGTTATAATAATTGTCGATTTTGGCATATCTACGTTAGATCAGATTTACTGTGTTTATTTTCTTTCAACCTACAATGTTTAGGTATATATATTCCTATCTTCTCCTACTTCTATAATTTTATATATGAGGACCAGTTGTTGCAGCAGCATGAAAACTTCAAAAGTCCTGGACTAAATAATTGTTCCTGATAGTAATTGTCTTCCTTGATTAATTACACCTAATATAAATAATACGAGATGTAACTACTTAGTTTAAAACATGTTTTCTACAGGGTTAGTGATAAAGCGGCACAACATCCGAATATGGTGCCACGACTGCGACATGGCACGCCTGCAGCGCGTCGTGTGGGAGGGACACGGCACGCGGCTGCTCAGCGAAGTCTCTAACCAGCCGGTCGTCAAGAAGTTTCTGGAAGCTGTACCCTATATTATGGTGAATAAGAAACGCAATAAGAACTCCCTTAGCAAGAACTAATTTCGAACTGGAATAGTTGAATTCAATCTCGATACGCATCAAACTTCAAGAATATTTGTTTTTTAGGTTTTCATGCTCATCACTCGTTACATAAAACAAGTTTCAACGGTTTAGATGCACTAATCATTATTCCGACGACGCATTCCTGTAAAGGATGCGAAACGTCAATAAATAAATAAAATCAGTGCATCCAATCCTTTGTAACTTCTTTTATTTAAACAAGCAGTTTTGTATGGAAGATTTTAAATTCTCGTTACGTCCGTTGTGGCGCTGTTCAAATTTTATATACAAAACTTCTTGACATTTGACGCATATCGAAATTAAATTCAACTATTCGAATTCAATATTGATTAGTGCGGGTACTATTGTCGAGTTTTTTTCTGAGCTTTGAGTTTTTTTTTTTAATTTCTGGAGGCTGTACTCTATATACCATGGTGCTGGGATATTTTTTTCCAATCTTTATATAAACGGGTACTTGATCAGTTTATGTTGTAAATCATATAAAAAACTAGGAAAAGTAATCATAATTGTTTTAAGATTTCAATATAATGTACTTAGATCTGATTATTATATTACATCTTCAAATTGTTGCTTTTTTGCGATTTTATTAATTCGAATTTTTGACAATAGAACAGGTGGTAGGATAAAACATTAAGGACGATTCAAAAGAACAAATACAAATTGAATAAAGTTGATTGGATGGAAGTTCCTTATCGCACGGTACGGATGGGGGCTAAGCGAAAAAAAAGGTGTAAGATTTTTCCGTCTAGATCTTCCGTCACGACCGTCAGCTGTTTCGTAGCGTATTGTGTGCAGTGGTGTTATGACTCAATTACACTTGGTCGTTTGCCCGAATACGATTGCCAATGAAATTCGTATTAACGACTAAGTGTAAATGAACAGAGTCGAGTAAGCTCGTATTCCAGTGGAAATATTGCTTCGGGTGCCCGAATACGAGTAATGTCTTTCGTGTACCCGAATACGGACTAACGACCAAGTGTAATCGTGCCATTACTTGTACTTATGTTCATTTTTAACTTCGTTCCAACCGAGTGTTCCACGACACTCACTTGGCTCTTTCATTTGGTTTTATTTCATTTGACTCTTTTCAAATATTTAAAGCAGCTGCTTAAACAGTACTTAACTGCGTTATTTTGCTCTGTAATGATGACGAAATGCGGCATTCATTATTTAACTAATATCTAAAATTGAATCTATCACACTAGAATATGTTTTTATTTTACAGCCTTAAATTAAAATATTACCTTTCTAACGAGCTTTTTCACTTCCACTTGCAGAACACTATCCGAGATATTCACAATGCCGTAATTGAGAATGACCTGGAAGGGTTAATGAAGCACGCTGGCGACCCCGTGTCACCGCAAGCTCTGTCCAGCAGAGATGTCAACAACTTGACAGTCACGCACAAGGTAATCCGTGGTTGAATATCAGAAAAAAGTCTCCTCATAATAATCTGTATATTTCAAAGACAGCAACCGTTATTGTCTGACTAATCTATAAACGCACAGCTTTAATCACAAAATTGCGTTCAAACAGCTGTACTACTCCCACTACTGAGCATATGCCTCCCCAAGGATCTCCACATCGATCGGTCGTGTGGCACGCACATCCATCGGCTTCCAGCGATTTTCACCAGGTCGGCGGTCCGCCTGGTGGGGGGCTTTCGCACCGAGCGTCGTCCGGTGTGAAGTCGCCACTCGAGATCCTCTCCGCCCCAACGGCCATCAGTTTTCCTCGCTATGTGTCCCGCCTACTGCCACTTCAGCTGAGCAATCTTTCGAGCGATGTCGTTTACTTCAGTTCTCCTGTGGATTTCCTCATTTCTGATTCTATCACGCAGGGAAATACCAAGCATCGCTGTCTCCGATGCCTGCTATACGACCTTGAGCCTTCTTATGAGACCTATAGTAAGCGACCACGTTTCGCTTCCGTAAGTCATCACAACACACCCTTTTTTTTTATGTCTAGAAAATGCATTTCGCATACTTCGCCAACCGAGGGTTACGGACGAAGCTATCGGGGATTCCTCTCCGCCGCTTCAGGGAACACAAGTGCTCCGAGAAGCAAGCGGGGCCCTACCTCGCCAAGAAGGCGACCGCCACAAGGGCGACCGTAAAAACTAGACAATACTCCTGCACCGGTCACCCGGCGCGCATTATGAGGGACCGCGGTCCCTCCTAGTGCGCACCGGGAGTGCGAGTGATATGGCGGTATCCGTTTCCGAATAGTCCGCCCACCCGCAAGGTGATTATCCGCAAGCGGACCCGCCCCGATGAAGATGCCCCGGAGTATTAGGGGCATCAACATCCAGACAGCTTGTGCAATGCAAGCCTGGCCCCCTCAGGACAGACTCGCGGCCCTCATGAGATCACAACACACCCTGGACAAAGGCTTATAATAAGGATAGATCGGTAACATCCCAACGTAACTTACTAACAACTTCTTCCAATTCCGTTAACTTCGCGTTAGTACTTAGTGTGCACGTGTTGTAGTTTGCCAGGTTTAGTCGTCTTTGATTGTAGTCGGATCTTACACGGGGATTCTTCACACCGTGGCTTGGACATGCAGGGCTGCCAGGAACTAGGGGCCGATTTTTATTTGTGTCATTCATTAGGGGGTTTTGCCGTAATCGCCACGCATGTGCAGACGGGTTAGCGATCGCAGTATGGCCAAAGAATTGAAGGAAAAGACGCTGCTGCCCGTCTTTTGCTGGCTGTTTTCCCGTAGTCACCTTCTACGACACCCATAAAACGAGAGGGGGTGGTGCTTTTCTAGGCCGGCGCACACACGGCACAGACGCGCATATAGCTAATTATAATGTAGGCGTGCGCTAAGAAAGGAAATTCCAAAGCTCACCCCCTAACAGGGTAAACAAATCTAACCGCGAAGCCGCGGGCAAAAGGAAGTTATATACAATTGAGACTAGACTGAGTCGTACCTTATCTGAATACACAAAAAATCGATTATTAAATGTATGAAGAAGAATGATTCTATAGACCTATTTATTCATATAAATAAAAAACTAATTGATAAGAATGAGCCATCAAATATGCGACTCGACTCTACTTACACTTACCATCAGGTGGAGTAAGGTAAATTGTTGTATAAAAATGACATGATTTGAAAAACATGAAAATGTTAATTGTTGAACCAAAATGAAATGATTTTTTATAAATCACTTAATCTTATCTTAATCACTTAAGGTTTTTTTTTTTGGAATTGCAAAACAATTTGTTTTTATTGTGTACGCCACGCCTCATATGAAATTCTCAATCATACTGATAAGAATGTCAATCGCTACATTAATGAATAAATAAAATTAAACAGAGGCTACGCGCCCAACACTCAACCAAAAATAAAAGTATAAAAATGTCAATGATAGGGTGATCTTTTCGCAGACCACTTTTTGGTCTAATGCTTCCTCTACCCGTCGATAGATGCGTTCGCAGACGTCAACGGATGGACCACCACCGAGCCGACTACACGACTGACCACGTCTGTAGGTCATTCAGTTTGTGTTCATTCTCGACAAACGACAATTGCACGCACACAACATTAAAAAAATAAATGTTGAGATCGTAGCTGCCGCAATCATTTATTTATTTAGTAGTTTTAACCTTAGATTAAAACAAAAAGGCTAGATACGGTACGCTCATACTTGCATCAAACAAAAACTAATCCCACGGCAGAGCCAACGCGACGGCGAGATCTGCGTCACTGCATTACCGACTCGAACGAAACAGCACGTTAAGTTTCAACGGCAGCGCGAACGAGAAGGCGAGATCCGCGTCACTGCGCTCAATCACGCGACGTCACTACCGAATAAGATTTAAAACAAACAGCAATTTTTATGAAAAAATATATTTTATAGTACTTACGAATGAAAAGTGATGCCGTGGGTTTTATTTTTAGTTCTTGAGCAATTTGAGCACTTTTTAAAAACACACTTAGGCATTGTTATATCATATTAACACAAAATATAAGCATTATTTCTTTTTGGCGTTCACATGTACGTCGTTTACATGTCAAGTTGTGACTAAAGCGATTAGGGTCGTGGACCACAATTCATGCGGATCACTTTTGTGAGGCTAGTGCCATATCTACCCTTTTTGTTTTAATCTAAGGTTTTAACTATTACTTTTAAACTTCGCAGTAGAACTATTAAAAACAAATAGATAAGAACAAGGTGGAAGGCTGGCTATTTTTCAAATGCACAGGTAGTTTTCTGCTTAAATACTACTCAAGGAATTCGAATGTTTCGTTAGTTAGTAAACTTTTCAGTGCAGAAAGATATAAAGCCATTCAGAAACCTGTTATATGCTAACAATCAAAACCAAATCAAGAATAAAATAAAATAAATCCGTAAAATCTATGACGTTCGTATGACGTAAAACAATAAAAAAAATAGTTTATACTTAATATAAAAAGCCAAAAGAAAGAAAATCTAAGCAATTCGTATTAGTATTGAACAGTGTAGGTGGTGAGTGGTTTTTTCACATCCGATTATCCGATTGATATAAAAAACGGCAGTTATCTCCTGTGTGGTTGGTATATTACTCTCACCTCTGCTGGACTGTATTTTCGTACTTTCCTTTGTACAGGTTGCAGCGTCACCAGCAATATAATTGGTGGCAAACCTCGACTATAAATTACCACGATTGCGTCTATCGCTTATCTAGGCTAAAATAAGGTTTTTGATACCACTGACAACCATAGATGGCAATCAATCTAACGCGCGCTATTCGAAATTCGAATTCTCAGTACCCTTAGCACCTTAGCACGGACCAATATTGAATTCGAATAGTAGAATTCGATCTCCATACGTGTCAAATATTAAGAAGTTATGTATAGATTTTTTTTAATTCTAGTTACGTCCATTGTGGCCCCTTTCAAATTTAAATACAAAACTTCTTGATATTATAATAGGGAAGCCCAAGAGGGGATTTGGGGATTTACTGGAGCGCGGCAGATTAATATATAGTACAGTCAATCTGTAGGTTGAGTGGTGAAAAAAAAACCTAAAGGGTAAGTCTTGTTTTTTCTGTTGCCAAATGACGTCAGTAAGCCACCTTGGTGATGGGCATGTTCAACTCGTAGGCGTTTTGTGAAAAACTCAAAAAAACCCTCAAAAAATTTTTGAAACTCATTTTTCTCGTTTTTAAGCATTTTAGAAACTTTTTTTTCGACCATAATTGTAGAAGGCGTTGAGTACTACAATTTATGTCATTGTTGCAATCTCGTACAACAAAAAATGCGCATTGTAGGTGGCGCTAAAGTCTCAAAAAAGTGTTTTTTCACTTTTTACCCTGAATATATCATTTTAATGGAAAACTTTAAATGGAAAAGTTGTTCCGTACATAATTACCAACAACTTTTGTATAAACAAAAGTATGAAAAATCCAATAGAGCGGTTTTGGGCAGTTCAAGTACACATTTGCAGTGCACATTTCAATGTACGTTATTTATATTTATTTTTTTCAATCATGAAAAAAAATAAAGAATAGCTAGACGCTAGTCCCACTTTATTAAGTGGTTTTGGGTTTTATTTTTTTTTCATGATAGAAAAAAAAATAGTAGAAGTAACAAAAATCGTTAATAAAGTGTTGCGCGTGCAGCTGCAGCGCTGCAAAAATTCGAAAAAAATATCGATTTTTCAGAAATCGATCTTATTGGCCTCGATTTTTTGTGGATCGATTCATTAGGTCACGATTCGAATCGATTTAAAAATCGATCTATTTCGGAAAGAATCGCCATCCCTACCCCACATCACTTTCTGTCTACCATTACGCTTTTACAGCTGATCACAGCGCTCGTGAACCTCGTGGTATTATATGTACATCGCTCTGGTTTGTTTGTTTTATTTGAATTTTTGTGAGTTAGATATTTACTATCACGAAGATGAGTGACAATATTATAAAGTGTGTGTTTTGTGGACAAAATACATGTCAAAAGATTGTAAAATTTACATCGGAAACAATAAGGAAATGCAAGACGGTTTTGGAGTATCGTCGGAGTAAACCTACTCTCAGACGTACGTAACGTACGTACAACAACGTACAACGTACGATAATCTTGAACTTCCGGATGAAACATCATTTTTTACAATGTGTGTATCTTGACCTAATTTAACCTTTATTAGATTTTCAGCTTATTTTTAGTTGCATGCTATTTTTTATGAATTTTATTTATAATTATTTGAAAAAAATCACGGAGAAAATTTTCTTGAAACCGTCAGATTAAGATAATCCCTCCGAATATTCGTCAGATTATGGATTAGCATGACCAGCCCATCAAGCTGAACCGCCTGTATGAAAGTCTGATGTGCTCGAGTATTTCCAGATGGCGTTTTATTTTGAATTTTCAAAAATCCGTCATAAGCTTGCGTCGCGTCCGAATCGTCGGACTTTTGGATCTGAGCTTCGTTTAGGCTCACTTAACATCCCCTCTGAATATCTGACGCGCTCTAGTAATTTTTTTTTCCCCCATTTTCAATCCATCCGTACGGCTAGTCCCACCATGGAAACCGGCAGATTAACATTCTTCCGTCATCAGCGACACAAGGGGCATATACAATATCAATAACTGCCGCGCTCGAGTATTTCCATGTGACTATTTTTTTTTACATTTTTGAAAGCTTCTAGACGCTTGTTCCACCGGTGAAAGGGTATGCATCATGTAATCTTTTTATCTTTCTACCATCTGATCTTCAAAATTCAATAGGTCTCCACGATGCTCGAGTAAATCCCCATTTAGCATCGTGGCCTCCCCTACTATTACTCTGTTGATCTGCTGGTAGCGTGATGATAGCCTTTCTCGATAAATCAGCTAACCAACACACAAAGAAGTTTGCAATTCGAACTAGTAGTTCCTAAGATTAGTGCGTTCAACTATACAAAGTCCTTGTATAAAATAATAAGAATCTATAGTACACACGTCGACAAACTTCTTGAGCGACGACCATAGACAAGGCATCCTGTAAAAAACATAAATTGCGCAAGTTTATTTGTCTTTGGTGTTGCTTAAGAAGTTTGCCGCTACCTGTAACTATCGGAAGTATCGGATAACGAGATGTAGGCAGCGTCTCCATCTGTACGTGGTTGATATTCCTTCACTGCGTACCTCAAGATTCGCAACCTCCTTCTTTACGCGAACGCTCCTAGACAGACCTTATTAGTCGACCCTATTTGCCACATTTTGTAACGGTCATCGACGGCCAACTCAAAGCAAACGGCTAGTATTTCACGGAACTAATGTGACTCAAGATGCGACTAATAGATTTTTCTCTAATTTATGTTTCACCTCCCTACTTTCTTGTATACCTACTTTTATCTCTTACTATCCTTCTATACTTTCTCTTTCGGACTTCTGCCCGTGTCCCTGGCTGGATCAAATAGCAGCCTCGAGTAAGGGCAGAACATTATTAATACGTTGGAAATGTAAGCAATAATAGAACCTTGTTAAGAATCCAATTGAAAAATATACCAATAAAAACATAGTTCAAAGAAGAAGCTAGATGGGAATTCCCCGCTTCATTCCGATAAATACAACGATATTTAAAACATTTTGAGCTCTGGTGGTGTATCTAGGGGTTTTAAATATGGTTGGTTACATATCATAAAACCCAGGGATCTTCGAGGCAAGAGTAAATCTTGAGTGAATAAAAAATTTAGAGTTTACGTGCTCCAAGCTACATCGTTGCTTAACATCGTGGGATTGTGTTCTAACGCGTTTAAATCTTTCATATAAAAATAATCCCACTAATATTATAAATGTGAAAGTTTTGTGTTTGTTACTCAATCAAGCAAAAACCAACTGAACGTAATTGTATGAAATTTGGTACACATATAGTTTATCACCTAGATTAACACATAGGATACTTTTTTCCTAGATAAATGTAAGGTTCCTGAGGGATTTTCAAAAAACTAAATTTAAAGGGGACGAAGTCGCCGGCAGTCGTTCATATATAAATAAAATAAGAGGCGTGAATAAGAATGGGACAGGCCGTAAGGTAAAAATAGCGGGTCTGAAACATAAACTGTCATAGTTTCTTCTTTCGCGTCTGGACTCCACCTTGACCTATGATACGATCAGAAGGGGAGGAGTACTTTACTCACAGTATTTATTAATACAACACAATGTCATAACTTCTAAAGACAGCAATTTTCTTACAATTATGTGGAAGCATTCGTATAATTTTATTGTGTTTTCCAGGCAGCTGGACTAGGTCACGGAGGTATATTGAAGTACATTATCGAGCGATACCCCCAAGGTATAAATGATGTCGACAATGATGGACGTACTCCTTTACATTACGCAGCTGCAGTTAGAGATGATCAACATACTTATAATACGCTTGTAGGATATGGTGCTGATGAAAGCGTCACTGATAACGTAAGTCATATTACTTAAGTGTAGAAATATAAACACGACACAAACCTAGTATACATTATTTATTTTTGACTATTAGTCATTATAGTTTAATAGGTTGAACTATATCATTTTAGAAAAATAAAACACCCGCTTATTACAAGAATAGACCACAAGAGATAGATAAAAACATATTGAAAACCTTGCCTGAAGCACCTAGAACTGCTTCTAGCGCTTACCCGACTTCATGGGATTGGAAATTGTTAGATACGGAAGTTATAGCTGAATTAAGTAAAAAATCACGAAGGAAAAATCTGAAGACATCTAGTGAAAACGTTTCGTCCAAAATAAACACAAATACTATTTCTGAGAGCACAGATAACAATTTAGGGATGAAAACAAGCAGTACTCGAGAGTTTATAAAAGATTTACCTGAATTAGATGATAGCCATAAGCCAGATATATCGAATCATAAGGTGAGGTTGCATGTTACGTTATCATGGAACGCTCTTTATATTTCATTTGCATTGCTTTTGATGAGCATCTGCATGAACCCCTTTTTATATTTTAGGATACAGAAACAATCGACGACACAAATGATGATGGACAAAAAAATGAACTATCTGAAGAGATTATTGAAGAAAGTAAAGAAGAAAGTAATGATATTATTGAGAATGGGGCGAATAAAGAATCTAATGAAGAACAAATAGAAGAACATACCGAAAAAGCTATTGATAAAAACGCATCTGATGATGAAAATTCTGAGGACAAACCTTTAATCAATAGTGAAAAAAGTAATGAAAACGATGAATCACATAATGAAGAAGACCAAATTGATAAAAATTGTATTGAAGGTATGAAAATTGATAAGCATCAAGAAGAACACGAGGAAATTGATGAGCCAGTCTTAAATAAAAACGACGAAGAAGAAAATAATGATGACTCTCCGGAGAAACAAAACACAGAAAATGAAAATATTAAAGAAGTTGCATTTGATAAAAATGAAACCAAAAATGATGAAAACTATAACTCACAAGAAGACAACAAATTAATCAAAGAAAACAGTGAAAAGGAAGATAATAATGTACAAACTGAGAATACTAATGAGACTGAAGAATTTTCTTCAACAAAAGAAGGTAATTACAATACTGAACACAATGAAGATGATGACGATGTTCAAGTACAAGGAGACTCTTATTCAGAATACAGTGATATAAATCACCAAAGTACTGCTGATGTAGTTGAAATGGAATGTGCCAAGAGAGGTAAAGTCTCTTCTGGCACCGTACACGAAACAATTACAACATAATTTACATACTACTTATCAATTATAAGAGGGTCCCTGACAAGTTCAATATTTTTGATTATTTTGCTAATTAAGGAAACGTGTCCGACGGTGGAAACACGCATGAGAGTCTTATTGAAGGCATTATTAGTGGCGAAGCCGAACAGGACTCGCAAGATGCAAGTATGACGCAAAGAGATGGATCAGTGCATGAAGATATACTTGTCGTTGTAAGTATAATTTCTAATTACATGCAATACGACGACGGTCATGAAATACTAAGGTAACGCATACCAAATTATTTACACAATTGTGGTGTTTTAGACTAGCGGCATCATTGTAGCACTGTGTAATTTCATAGACACTTCGTAACACCACTGTCAATAATTTGCCAGCTTCTTAGTTCTATGTTTTGAATCAACTCTCAAAGTAGACCGCGAACGCCTTACTTCTGCTTATAAATTTTATACGAGTAATTAAATTATCTATTTTATACTTACCAGGATAACGAAATAGACCCAGAGGTAACAGACTTAATAAATAATGCAAACATGGAAATGCTAGCAACTTTAGTTTTAAACGGTGAAGGATCAAGATTGGTTGGCAGACATTCAAGTAACTCTGAACTACAATCATTTTTAGACAGTGTGCCGTCATATATGGTAAAAAACTTAATTCACAAGTCGATTCTAAACATAACTAAGTTCTTGTAAAATGTTACACATAATTAATAATATTTTAGCAAAAAATAAACAAAGTACATGTGGCGGCAAGAGAGGGAGACATAAGAGAATTACAAGCTGCTTTGGATAGACGAAAATTCGCAATAGCCCGAGATCCTATTTCACCGAACGGTGCTACTCCTCTACATGTTGCTACTGTATTTGGAAAAACAAACATAATGAAATATCTCGGCGGAAGGTACAACTAATAATATTGAAAAAATACTGACACTGATTTACGAGCCGTTTATAATAAATAAAAATATCTTTAGCAATTCATTAACGTTAAACGATATGGATTGTCTTAGATTTCCTGAAACACTTTCGGCCGTGGATTTTGAAGGAAGAACTGCACTACATTACGCAGCGGTATTACCAGATAACGGCCACTACTACAATTTATTACAGCAGCTTGGAGCGAATTCTAAAGATTTGGATGATGTAAGATACTGAGATAAATAATATGTCAAATAAAGTTTAAGTAACATTTACTAAAAGCTATTTCTATTCTTTCAGAGCGGAAGATCAGCTGAAGATTATATCAGTAATCCTAATCTGCTTTCATTTAGTCAACTTCTCACTGATTTTGGAATAAGCGAAGAAGTAGCTCAAGATATGCTCTCAGACAAAGGTATATAACACATGGCTTTAAATTAAAATTTAATTATAAAATTATGTTTTTGATTTTAGATATATAAAATCAATGAAACGATGTATTATATCATTTATGACGAATAAAAAAATATTAACGGAAGAGCTTATTGAACATACCACTTATATTTTTACCAAAACTATTTTTAGTAAGTAACCAGTTATTTATTTTTAAATTGTGTTAACTGTGATAGTTCCTGAGGATCGAGTATCGTCTCGACGTTCGTTAAATGCACCAGAAGCTTTGGATACTCTGGAACGATGCTATCGACTATTAGCGTCGGCTAAATCAATACGAACACCTCTTTCGGCTTCATCTAACAGAGCTACACCTCCACTGGTTTTAGGCAGATTTCTAAAACGACCAATATTTGATTCAATAAAATTTAGAATTACTAAACTAGATCATGATCTTTTTGATGTAATTTGGCCAGCAGTGAAAAAATTACCAGATAACAGAAATATTGTTCAAACGGTTGAAGAAGATTTTCCTGGAGGAATAGCTGCCCCAGACTACTATGTTTATGAAGTTTTTCATGAATTTTTAGAACCGCTTATCAAAGATATACACAATATTAATATTCATACTGATTTGAACTCACATCCACCATCCGATTTCGAAAAAATAATATTAAAACCTCCGTCTGCGGTATCAGCACAACCCCTCGTAGAATTGAATATAGATCTCAATGATGAGTTTGTACTTTCGGGGACAATGGAATGTTCAAGAAATATTGATGGATTTGAACTGCCGATAAATCTAAAAATTGGTAAATTGGAAACTATTGAAAGAATAGTGACAACTGTATGTATGCATGAAAACTTTGCAAAATTAAGTGGATCGTTGATTGCTGAATCGGATCAAAGAGGTGGATCATATTATACTCTAAACGAAGTCATGGAAAAACCATCAGAAATATGTGCCACATTAGCGTCTAGTGGCTTGTTGATTGCATTATGTGACAGAGAAGAAATAGATGACTGTACCCGTCTTCACGGAAACCATTGGCCATACGGGCGTGGCGTTTTTGTAAGTGAAGATAAAACTGTGGCCATATGGATAAATGTACATGACCACATACGAGTGCTTGTAACTAATCCAATTGATAGTCCAGGAGAAATTGGACAGACATTCAGCAAAATGTCCTACATCATGGGATACCTACACGATAAAATAGATTTTGTGTGGGATCAAAAACTTGGCCACTTAAGTAGCAGACCCACATTTTTAGGAGCTGGTTTACGTTTTAGCCTCATTATTAACTTCCCTGGTCTTTCCAAAGATCCGGACAACATGAAACATTTGTGTGCAATGAGGGGATTGCAATACCGCGAAACTTTGAGTGCAGATATAGCTCGAATAAGTAATTACCAATGTTTAAACGTGACAGAGACTAACTGTTTTAATGATTTCGCTACCGCGGCATCGAACTTACTGCATCTTGAAAAGGATTTAGCAATGCAGAACTCAGCACACATAGCTACGATGCTCTCTAATATATTTAGAAGGAAGCGAAGCAGTTTAGCTGATTTAGACAATTCAGACACTCAATAAGTTTAAAATTATGATACTTTCACATTTAGAATTTAATTAAATAAAAAGTAAGTTTTTTATAGTTTGTCGAATGTTGGAAAGATCTAGGTACCTACTAGAAAAACATAAGTAATGGCTGAAGGCGAGGAACAAAAGATGTAAAAATGCATATTTAAATATACGAATACTCCGAGTACCATTTAGGTCAGTACTAAAGTAAGTTCGCGTGTGAATTACGTGTGACGTGATTGCATTACGTTCACGCTTATACACTATTTTCCAATTGCTATCGTTGAAGCTTTTATTGCACTACCATCACCAGCCAGTCCTGTCTTTCCAACATTAGATAGTGTGTGTTGTGTGTAAACACTATTGAGTTTATTCCTTTTTATGTATGTATATATGCGTAGATTTCAGAACCCCTGATAACAATCATGTGCTTAAACATTCCTATGTAATGGTGCAGGTTTTAAGGTCTACTTGCAGCAATCAATTCTGTCAACTAAAACTAGCTTTATCCCATAGAAAAATGTCAAAACGTCAATGTCAATTTGACATTTTCATGTGGGTTATACCTAGTTTTAGTAATATCAAGATTTTAACAATTTTGCCACAAGTTGGCCTTATTCTACCTACAAACTAATCTACATCATATTTGTGAAACCATTAACACAAATAAATAAAGGATAAAAAACTTCAGAACTTTCTATTTTTGTACTCTTTATTCATATTAATAATTACTGCCTATTTCAAATACCCCCGGACACAATGTTTTCATCAATGAATATAGCAAATTTAGGAACGAAATGTTCAATAGTTCGTTACTAAGATACTTTTGCCCACAACATTTAAAGTTCAAAGATGTCAGGGCCCTATTATTAAAATTGATATAATAAACTCATTTGAAATGTTATGTTGTAATTGTTTAAGTGGTCGTAGTTCCAAGAAACATGGTCAACAAAAACTATTTACCGAAACCGTAGAAAACAAAACTCTAGGTACAAAATAATTGAATATAAGTGTCATAAGCAAACATTTTACTATTGGGTATCGTTTAGGATCGATCGTTAGTAAGGCATATCAATCAAGTACACGTTGTGACTCATGTGCTAATAGAAGCTTTGTGTTTCATGTTCCACCACTGACGGCTGATAATTAAAGTTTTTTTACCCCTACTGTGACCATTATCGTCCGTATACGTATTGTCGATATACACATAAGTACACCGAAGGCCGTCACAATGAATATTTAATCGATTCCAGGTACGAGCCACGATATCAACGGCCACATGGACATTCCCATCTTCAAAACGGAAGAGGGCAGATATCTAGCCAAGTGTAAGTGATTAATTTAATCCAGTGTATGTGCGGTTAATACATTTTGCAATGAATAAATCTAAAGGAAATAGAGGCGATTATCCAGATACGATTTTTGCAGCTCTCGGCGATCCTTTGATAAAAGGTCTGACCGAAGTGGCGAATGTGAAGCCTAAGGACCCGGTCGCATTTCTCGCTAGCTTTCTTCATAACTTTCCTAACCATGAAAAGCCTCATTTAGGCACACAGGTGAGTACTGTATTAATTTATAATGTTCATACTGAATTGTTTTCATTTGCTCGGTCATGCAACTTAGTAAATAAGACATAGCTCTACAATAATGTACCAAGTAATACTATGTCCATTGCTACAACAGCTTATGTTTATTATATTTTGGATATCTGTCTTGAAAGGTTTTTCTTTTTTAATTTACGCATAAATTAATAAACGCCCTCGAGGACCCAGTTTTGAAAGCCTCGCCAGTGCAGTGAAATGTGACAATATCCAATAAGTGTGCTATAATTACTAAGTAAGCAGTTTACAATTAGCTGTGACTAGCACTAAGCGAGGCAATTTGTGGTGTGGTCTTAACCTTAGTGAGATTTATATTAGGGATATCTCTTTTCAAAGGTACTTATCTGGAATTTATTCTTAAAACACTTACTTTCGAACATATTATTTATGAGATACCCGCTAGTCATTGTATAAGTTGGAACAATTAATTTTAATCGTATGAGTCATACACTTAACGACTTCATATGCGGCTACAAATTTGTAATGCAATGAGGTGTGTGATATTATACTGCAAAACGGATGTGCTACATAATCCTTATCAATAAACTCTATACCTACTTAAATGATGAAAACCTATATCTGACCTAACTTCACATTCAAATATAAAAGCACTTCATAGAAACAAACCTACTAAATATTAAGAAATAATACACATATACAAAACCACTAAGGCTTTGTTATTATGAAAAATAACCAAACGCGATATGTGTACTATATTGTTTATCTCCGAAAGTACTTATTGGATCTTCATCAAAATAATATGGAGACAATCTCGCTAATAAGCTCTTCCAAACAAAAATAAGAAGCATCCTAATCAGTCCACTCATATTGGAGATATGCGCGAACAATAATATAAAAAAAGAATGTAAAATAATAATAAAATAAGAATTAATAGAGCCGTTGTAGAGCCGTTATAAATTCTCGTCATTTCATTTAATTATAATAATATTAAACATTTAAACTACCTACGGAAAATTTGAGGCGATTTAGTTCTATACATTGCCGCCGTGACTTCAACTGAATAGGTACTAAGAGCATATCGTCATCAGTATATTTATGTCCCCACTACTGGAGCACAGGACTTCCCTATGGATGGGAAAGGGAGATAAGGCCACGAGGGCCCAGTGCGGATTGGTGGTTGCTAACGACTGCAGATGCAGCCGATACCAACGGTTTAACGTGCCTTCCGAAGCACGGAGGAGCTCGAGAGAGTAAAATTTTGGTCGCCCATCCAATGACCGACCACTGCTAAAGTTGCTTAACTTCAACTATCGCAGCCAAACGCGTTAACCACTTGAGCCATCGAGCCAAGAGCATATATTTTATAGATATTTATTGTTATTTCATCCTACAGGAATCCAAAAAGATGGTGACGAGTGAAGTGGCCGAAGTTGAAAATGAGCATGCCGCACCTGTCCTCGCCCCAGTGGCCAACATGGTAGCTGCTGCCACAGCGAATATTCGGACCGGGACAAAAACTGCCACGCGGCACCGAACCATAGACGTAGTCACGGTAGACCCACACCCTGAACCCAGCCCCGACGGACCCGAAGTAGCATTCAGTAGCGCTAACAGGGTAAACATTAGATTGCATTGTGTAGTAGGTACTCAATACACGAACATTACTTTAAGCACTTGGAGCTAATTTATGGAAACGCAAACAAAAACACAACAGTACTCGTACACTTTACAAACACACCCAATGATACACATCCACCAAAGCAGAGACCACGGAAAAGATAAAAAGATTTTTTGTAAAATGTTAATATTTCGTTAGGACAATTTGTCGCCGCTTCATCCCCTCTTTCGCGCCTACTTACAGTGAAAAAACTGGAAAGACAATATTTTTATTTCGTCAGATTTGTTCACAGAACTTAATTTTTCGTGTCACGCATGTTGCCACCAAAAGGCCAACAGTTCTTTAATCTCAAAAGTTATTTTATTGGCGAGTACCGCGATGGATCTCAACCTTCCGACCTTTTTTATACTAATCCGTGAGAGACTTTAATATAAATACCTTTCTATTCTTTCTCGATATTATTAAAGCAAGGGCACGGCTCAAGTCAACGATTACCACTAGCAAATCATGTATGTCTTTACAAATGATCCGTTTAGTTGATCTTCAAAATTTTTCGATTTCAAAGGATGAACACGGGCAGTCAATGCTACACTTCGCAGCAGCACGCACGCACACACGGAACGCGTTGTTTCAACTGCTCCAAGAATCCGACGTGAGCCTTGGCTATCGAGACGAGCTGTATCGCACCGCGAGGGACGTCTCCATACAGGCAAACGTTCCTGAGAACACGGCCGAGATAGATAAATGGGTGCTGCACTTAGCCGCTAGAGGTCAGTCACTTCCAGCCAGACACATCTATCGGCTTACTTGGTGTCATTATAAATTTCATCGGTCTGTAGCAAAATTATGATGTTAAATGTTTAGAAATAATTTTAAAAACACAAGAATTGTTTATAAATCAGTTTCACAACTGCGTAGGTAATAAATTTTTGCTCAATCTACCTATTAAAATTTACTCTGGAGTTGCTTCCAGCAGATATGAAAAAAAAGCACCTTTGAATCAATTGCAAAATTGCTAAATATACCCCTAGTAGAGATAGCTGGTTGGCTGGAACGAATTTCTGCTGAATCAGATATTTTCGCAACTGGCCTCCACTTATACTTAACATCAGGTGTGAATTGCTGGGCCTTCTATTTATACAAACTATAGAGATTTGATTGATACAGAAGACAGACTATAAGTTGCCTATATTACATTGCAGGTAATAAAGAAAAAATAATGGAGTTGTTGTTAGAAGGATACGACCACATATTAGACGTTGTAGACGAAGAAGGTGCACCGGTATTGGACGTGATTACGCAACGAGGCGACAGCGAGATGAGCAGTCTTCTCGCATCCATACCTACGTTTGAGGTAATGTTTACAATGAAATTCAATGAAACCGAACGTTGAAAACTGCAATATACTACCTATTTATTATTTTTATTAAGAAAACTAACAGCGCTACATGATGGGTACAAAAAATATTGTTAAGACTTAAAGCCAAATAAGCTAACAAATTAAATGAGGTTTGACCAAGTGTTTTATGTGAGTGCGTGTGTGTATGTGTTAATAAATTTACTCATATAAAATAAATGCTAATGAGATAAATATAAATACCTTAGATAAAAAACGTTAAGTTAATGTGAGAGTATAAATAGGTACCATAATTCGAATCAGGGTTAATAAAAAAACAATAAAATACCACCAGTCCGTCCTTTTCATTCCTTAAAAAGCATACTTTTTACAAGGATAGACCGCCGCCAAGTTCATAACAGCGAACACGGATAGCCAAGTGAAGTGCCGGTATGGCTTAATCACGCAAAAACTACCCAAAGGATTTGGAGTAAACTTAGCATGCACATAGTTTATGACCCGGATTATTATGAATCATCATCATCATAATCTTGTCAGCCGTACGACGTCCACTGCTGAGCATAGGCCTCCCCCAAAAATCTCCACACCGATCGGTCCTGCGCCACTCGCGTCCATCGACTTCCCGCAACCTTCACAAGATCGTCGGTCTGTTACCGTGGCTAGGACTAGCAGGGCTGCCGGGGGCTGGGGGCCAATCTTTAATTGTGGTATACATTTCTTAGGGGGGGTTTTGCCATAATCGCCACGCTTGGCAGGCGTGTTGGCGATCGCAGTACAGCCAAGATATTGCAACAAGACGCTGTTGCCCGTCTTCTGTCGGTTGTGCTCCCTTAGTCGCCTTTTACGACACCCATGAGACGAGAGTGGTGGTGCTATTCTAGGCCGGCACACACACGGCTCATTTACTAACCGGCTTATTATGAATACTATAATTAACTTAATTAATTAACTTAAATAAATAAATACTAGGTTGATGCAGGCGCTTAGCATAAAGGTCGTAGAAGGTAATCAACTCTGAAAGGGATCGCCACGAAGATCTGGCATTATTTTTGTTATATAAATGCTAATTTATTTATAAAGGAATCGCGGGAGTCATTACACGGTGCTATCAGACGAGGAGACCTCGCAGCAGTACAAGGCCAGCTGTCAGCGGAGGGCGGCCGCACCCTGGCGCGCAGTATGAACTCTTTCGGCAGGACCGCGCTGCACGTCTCCGTGCTGGCTCAGCACGAGGAAACAGTCGCCTATCTAGCGCAGAACTTTCCGGAACTACTACGGATCGGGGATAACGTAAGTATAGCTTACAGCCAGTTTCAATAATCCAACTCCAGGAAAAGATAGCCCTATTAGAACTTTGTTGCATTCATATTTATTTGTTGTTAAGAAACGAAACCAAAATAAGTAAACTAAGCATACTACTTACCTTTTACTAGTAGTAGAGAGCTCAAGCGGGTTTTTCTTATTTATTTTCTCGAGCGCGGCAGAATAACATACCAGGTCCTCAAGCTGAGAATTGGTGAGTGCCTCTAGAGGTATTCCAGGCGGATGGCATCTATCCACGGGGGGAGTCTCCCCTCAGTCTGGAGCCCATAGACCACTCGAACCAGAGGGGGGAATAATAACCGCCGATGTTTTCAAGTGCATCTTTATAAAAACATAACGATAGCGCGATTCACAAGTTGTTGCCGTTGTTACCCGCGGTAGCATTGTGGAACTAATTATATGTTGTTTTGGTTTTTAAATAGTTTTTTCAGATTGTTCTCCCATGTAATGTTTTACTCTACGATAACTTCATCTATGTCTTCTGCTCCCACCTGTTCTTTTTTACCATTCGTTCTGATGACAACGCAACGTCATGAAATTCATGTTTCAATGGTTTCAAATGGGCAATAATATTAATCTTATATACTGACTGATGTGGCTGCTGGAAAAGACACGGGAATAGATCTCATTAAAGTGTTACCCAGCTTCAACCAAATTAAGTCGTCGATTTACAGAAAGAGAAATAAATTAAAAGAAGTTCGGAAAATGAGCTACCTAAATGACACTGTAAATGCATTAGAAATACCTATGTCGTTTTCTAAATTTATGCTGTCAGATTACAACGACGAGGGCGAGGGCGTCCGTATTATATTTTGGCACTAAGGAAGCAAGGGAGTCCCCTTACGCGAAAAAAAAATTCTTTGAAGGCGGCACTTTAAAAATTTGCCCGGTACCTTTCACAGAGGTTTACACTATTCATGCAGATCTCGATAGCTCTCAAGATATGTGTGATGCTTCTAATATATGCACTTCTTAGTCACAAAACCAAAAAAGCCTATACCACACTTTTCAATCAAAGAAAACAGATTCCAGATTGGAAACCTTCCACATTCATTACTGATTTCGAGGAAGCCGCCATTGAAGCCATTGCTGATGTTTTCCCAAATGTCGATCATCAGGGATGTTACTATCATTTTTCAAATAAACTGTGGAGAAAAGCAATTGGGCATTGAAATATTATATTTGTGAAAGGAAATTGTTACCGTTCACTGGTCTTATCCATCGACAGAACTATGTATCAGAATATTTGAGATTGAAGAAGGGTGTAAAGCATAGTCTTCATAAATCAATCTTATAAATAATAATAAACTAATGGTAAAAAAATCCCAGTAGTTCTGCATGCCGACAGAACTATTCAACAGAACAGGTGGGAGCAGAGGATCTATGTCACCATTTAAGTTCTTTTCTAAGGAATTTTTAATAGGTAAGAAATTTTCTTTAACCAAAGTTGAACGACTATTAATCTTAAACTAATAGATCTATCTTCACTGTTATAATTTTACTTAAAAGTTCATGAAAGGAACTATTATCCTTAATTTCGTCCAAGTTTTTCAAGCCAATAGTTTAGCTTTTAGAGGGACGGACGGTCACCCTACTCGATCAAAAATTAGCACTTTAAAGTTTAATATCTCGCGAACGGATCCCTAAATCGAAAAATGGTCTTACAAACTTTTTGAGGACCTATTCAACGATACCCCACACGATGGGGTAGACGATGGAAAAAAAAACATCCCCAGGTTGCTAACCTAAAAAAATATATTATCAAAATGTTATTCTACCATTTTGTCGGTGTGATTGATATACATATCTCCACAAAATTACAGCTCTCTAATGCTAACAGTCTCCAAGCCAAACCGAAGACGGACATGACGAAACTATAAGGGTTCCTTGTCAGGACTACGGAACCCTAAAAATTGCATAGTTGTGTGAATAATGCTATTTAAAGTTACAATTTAACAAGATTTTTACAACCCACACATCTAATAATAGTAATTTAACTACATTGCAAGTTAATAGTCTCCACTTTACATGTTCCTACATATAGGATACGCTCATATATTTACTGTTAAGCCTCGATGACACGGGGCGAGTACAAGCTACAAGCCAGCGAGTTAGCTAGCAGCTTGTAACTCGCCCCGTGTCATCGTCTTTTTTACCATTTGCTACTTGATAATACGGGGCGAGTTTACAAGCTACTAGCGAACTCGCTGACTTGTAACTTGTAACTCGCTCCGTGTCATCGAGTCTTAACACTTTTGTCATTAAACATTTTCCATGTTTATTACAGTTGGAGCGAACACCACTACACTACGCGATGGGAGTGGAAAAGATGGAAAGCATAAGCAGAGTGCTAATTCGGGCTGGAGCTAAGCGTGTTCTCAAGGACCTCAAGGGACGCCAGCCCTCGTACTATTTCATGAACAAATCGGATATACTACGCCTAAAAGAAGAGGAGCAATCATACTGATACATTAGTACTCCCTTACAGTGGGTTATATGTTGGGCGATGTATTTTCAGAATTCAATAGCAGTTGTAAAATTGAACTACCTTCATTTAGAATTAAGAAGTTAGGGGAATTAAAGTGAAGTTGGAATGTTAATTGGAGAACGAATGTTATTAGAAATCGCTTGTTACGACGCACTTAACAATCACAGTACATTTTATTTTGTTTCTGTTTATGTAAAAGCTTAGTCATAAAATCTACATCTCGTGTGCCGAATGATAAATGTATGTGAATTGTTCGTAATTTTTTCTATGATGTTATTCAAGTTTGTACTTGACGGGACCCTGTTGATAGAATATTAAAATTATAAATTAGATTTAGAAATGAAAGTCACATGAAGATAAAATATTGTTTTATTTTGTCCAAACATGATTGCAGCCTAGAAACAACCTTCTAACTAAATAAATGTAACTAGTAAGTATAACAAAATATTAATCTAAAAATGAAAATTTAGTCTAAAATGCATTAAATTCACGAAATGACGATGGTTAGGACGCCGACGCAGAATATGGATAATTTAATGTTACAAGGATCCAATTCCATAACAAAAACAAAGAATACACGTTTAGAAGTAAAGTTTTCAGTGCATCAAACTTCTAGTTTCCTTCAATAGACTTCAGGTCTTCACGTAGGAGCTTGCCAAGGAATAGGGTTGACATACATTTGCGATACCGAACCCCGCATACCTGGTATCAAAACAATGTCATTTATTTTTACATAAAAATTAAAGTTCGAAAAAAAATAAGTTATCAGGCAAGTTTTTCAATTCAGCTAGATAATGATCTTATAAGTAAACAAGCGAACCTGACAGACTTTGTCCTGTCCAATAAAAATACAATAAAAAAGTACCAACTGCAGAGCCACCAGTAGAATTGTAAGTAAAGTTAGGTTATATTAAAATTTTCTTTTTTTAATATATTTAAAAGTGAATGTACCTATATAGTTGTACCTATACATTACGTTACTGTTAATCTTGGTATAGCAAAACTTCTCAACGATTTATGTATTTCTTGTCTTTTTTGAGAAAATAATTTCATTTGATCATTATAGAATATTTCTTAATTTAAAACGACTTCTGTTATTGAGTAGCCTTATAAAACTATTTATACGCCCATGATTTTTATATAAATTGGTTCTAAATTTGAAAGAGCTAATTACGGTATTTCATTGTCATTAGGGGACGTACAGTCATAAAAATTATCGAATCGGTAATTTTAGGGCGTAAAATTAAAATTTTACTAAGTAATTAATATGGTGCTGGTATTCTTTTCACGTTTGAAACACTCAAATATATTTTATTACTTTTTACAAAAAAACGCAATTAATTCATAATTTTGAAGCAATACATACATCAGTAAAAAGTTACCATGCCTTAGAAAGAACCACAAAGCTATATTGCACCAAACAAGAAATCAATGGTAACTGTGAAAGTTGTTAAAAGTTTTCCTTTTTTTATTGCCTTCGAAAGCAGACAAGCACACGGGCCCCCTGATGTTAATCACCATCGCCCGTAGACATAGGCAATGCCAGTGACGTAGACATGCCGCCGCCTATCGTGAAACACTATTTATTAAGCCTCTCTTGAAGATGCCCATGTTATAGTACTGAGGGAACACCTTGGCCCCTCCAAGGTGTTCCCTCAGTACTATAACATGCTCAATTCATAATTTTATTGGCCATGGAATAAAAGATCTCTGGAAACGAAAATTTGTGAGCTTTAGTGTAATATGGGTGTACTCGACTCTGGTGATGGGTGGTACAGTGGTAAAATGGTGCTTTGGGTATTATTGGGAAAGAGCCTTTAGAATATGCATAAGACACTAAAGCACTTGCGCAGTTCTGAAGGCTCCGCTAGCTTGGGATCATCGACAATCCGAATCACGCGTTTTGGTATAGAATTGGGGGGACCAAATTTGCTATTCGAGAGCTCCTGTCCAGAGATTTGAGCAGTACTCTATTTAGGTCCTAATTTGCCCTTTGTAAAAGCCCTAGACGTGAAGTGCTTGAACCAATTAAGAACTCCAAGCTTTTTAGAGGCAAGTTTAGCCTTGCCCTCTAAATGCTTTCTATACTGGACGTCACCAGAGATATCAACAACTAATATCCCAAAGCTATTGGAATTATGCAGTGGGACTACATCGAATTATGGTGTGAGAGCAAATGACTCCTTATTTGCAGTGAATGCGCAAACTTGTGTCTAGTGTGCTAGGTTTGAACGAAACGAGGTTCTGACTTCCCCATTCGAAGACTCGCTCAAGAGAACCCTCCATTTCGAACACAAGCTTAGTCTATTCGAACACAAGTTTAGTCTATCATTTCGAAACTACAGCAGGGATGTTCGGGTTGCCCGTATACTGCGCGTGATCCGCATGCCGGGAACCAACAGAATTTCATTGACATACAGGTCGCCAAGCAATGCAATTATGTATTTAAGGTTCCATATGATACTAAAAGACTGACCGCGTTCGAAGAGTAATCCTTTAATAAGCAATACAACGATTATATATAGGATGGAGATGCATGTGTGTACATGGTGCAGGTACACACACCACATGCATTTATCGAAAATAATCCTTAAAATCGTCACTTATCACCTGTCATATGCCAGTGACATATTTTAAGACGACTTGGTGAAAGTACTTCGTATAAATTAGTTGAGAGTTATACTTGTTTTTAGTTTCATACGAAGCTGCATAGTTTTAAGTAAATGATTTTGTTACTCAAAGCTAGATGGAACTGTTGAGGCATTGGATTCTTTTTATATGGAAATTTTCGTGAAGGCCCCCTATAAGTTTTAACTTCTTTAGTTTCGTAAGAACCTTCTACAAAGTACCTATTAGGGCCTAATCACACTAACGGACTACGAGCGTTTTCTAGGCGGAGTGGGTGCGCAGCGAATACTCTAAGGTTGCGCAGCGATGACATCACGGACGCGCAACGAGGACGTTGCGTATACGCAACGTTTCCGTTACCTGTGCGCGGCGTACAATACACTCGGTATCATAATTAATCCGACGAGGACAACAACAACACTGCTGTTCGCTTTATGACTCTGAAGGCGCAAGAAACATACACGAAGTACATTGGTGAATTTGGGGAAATTCGTTATCAACCAATCGACTGAAAGAGAGCGACCATGGTGTGCTGTTTTGCGAAAGATTTAAAAACAATCAAAAACAATTCTGTTTCTTCCTACGAATGGCGAAACCTGCCTACATTTTATGACTTATTACACCTGATTCCAACAGATATAACAAAAAAGGTGCTATTAGCGACAATAACGTTGCGCGACCGGAACGTGTTCGCTGCACGGCTGAGACGTCTTTGCCGCGCACGCGTCCGCTCCGCCTTGAAAACGCAATCCGTCACTATGATAAGGCCCTTAGAAAGATATTATCGACGAAGTCGATCTCAAGAAATAGAGTGATCAAGAGAATTAGGGATTTATTTTTATAGAAGCTCAGAGACCTTATAAACTATGAACAGTCAAAAAATTTTAAAAACATTCCTCTTAGAAAGATAGAAATCCTTAAATTTGGATCACTTTTAAAGAAACGCTAAACTAAAACTCTTAAAAGGATTCTTACGTATGTTGTAGAGAATATTGTAAAAAAAATACTGCCAGACTCCTTCTATCGGCATATTTATTGCCAGACACTTTTTATGCATTAATTTAGATAATTATCCAATAAAAATTTGTTTAATTATTGTTAAAGGCTTCCTTTGCACTATTAACAGGACAACGATATTGAAGCTGTATTAAAAAGACACTGAATTACCATGCAGGCCTTTCTCATAGTAACACTTTAAATAAGCTTAATAATAATAGTAATTAATAATAATAGCCCCCTTAATATCATAGATAAATATCAGGCCTAAGAGTGTATGTAAGTTTGTGTTTTTTGCTTTCTACTTTGAAAGTGTCTGGCAGTATTAATTTCAAACTGTTAACAATATACTCTACAGCACATTACGTAAGAATCAGTAGTCCTCAGACTAAGTAAGATGAGTAACATTTTTCCGTACCTGTCCCACCTGATACCTGAAAATTGGCTTATAGCACAAGTTCATAATTCACACCTATACTACTCGATCATTTTTATTTTGTCCATCAGAAAATAAGTAAGGTCTGGCAGGACTGTCGTGTCTGAGAGCTTACTTAAGCGACTTAGGCGTAAATAAATAAGTAATTTTATGTTATTGCTTCTAGCGCTGCTTTTATGAACAAGATGTCCATAGCCACCTAACTTTTATGAAAATTCTGAAAATGATGCCGCACCGCATATAGTAGTTATATGCGGTGCGGTATCACAGAGATCATTTTCTACGTTAAGACATAGTTTTAACATGTCTTAACGTAGAAAATGATCTCTTGGTTGGGAGAAACATGTTAAAAGTGACATTTTTAGCTCTTCTAAACATTCGTCCGGCTTTGCCCGAGACATCGCAATAGTATTATCACCCGATTTTCCGATATCACTTTGTATTTTTTTGTGTATTGTGCAATAAACAGGCGTTTGTACCTTGCCCATTGCGGCAAAATATAAAGGCATTCGTTACTGACCTATATTTACAAATATATAAGGGAGGTGCAAATCTACGACCGCGCCTGGGCGATACAAATTTTGCAACTAATTTATCAAGCAATGCGACCGTGGCCTCACGATGGTTGTCCAATCAAAACGCGGCCTACGCTTAGTTTTCCAAAGTGTCGGTTTCAAACAAAGTTGCTCTATTGGAAGAGGAAAACAAAATAATGACTTACTAAGTTCCCCCTGGTTTAGAGGCACAGGCAGCGGTTTGTTTCTGCTTGTTCGCAACCAGTCACGATACGCGCGTTCACCGTTAGACCGCCGCGTCTCCTCCTCGATAGCAGCACGTGCTGCTTTTCGTTCCTCACGGGTTTTCATAGCTAATTTAAAATTAAAAAGGCATTGTCCGTAAGGATACTTCGTAATTGAACTACACTGTTCTGCAGTAAATATTGCACATAGAATGGTGCCAGAATAAGAGACTAAAAATGTACTATACAGAGTTCCTCCAGTTCTTTGAACTGTTACCTACACATTCCCTAGTTACCCAGGATGCCAACCATTAATCCGGGATAAAAAGTGTACTATGTCTCAATCCAGCATAAACTGTATAAATGTGCATACCACAGGAGATGGTTCATATATCATTTAAAAGATTGTTTGATATTATAACATGAACAGATACCAACGATTATCAATGACAGATACTTTTAATTTTTATTTATCTCCGATTAATTTTAAATGGTGTTGAAAAATTGATAAATTTTGTAAGGATGCTGGCACCCTTGGCAACTTGTAACGTCTACTCAATCACTATGGCAATTAATGTTAATCCAGTGATGCATGATATCCGTGAAATCATGGTAAACTTATTACATCCATTTATGATTGATTCTTCTTGAAAAAAAAGTACCCAAAAAATAGTTAATAATAAAATTAAAGATGAACAGAATCATTGTCACTGCTTTAGTTACCTATTGAATAATATATATGTGATGCTTTGGCAAAAAAAATAGATAAATAAACTTGCAATTTGGCAATAAATAAGTATGCCGATGTCGTAGCATTCGACTTTCACAGGAGCTTGTAGCAGTCTAGACTGAATAAATGATTTTGAATTTTAATAGAGATAAAGAGGTTGATATACTATCTCTTCATAATATAATATAATTTTATATTATAATAATTATTTTAATAAAAACGGGGATAAAATAAATTATTATTACTTATTAATAAATATTTTTATTTTTGTCAAGCGATTTACAATTAAGTGCCCTACGTGTTACAAAAAAATGGAGTTTGCCGAAGACTAACTATCACCCTTAATACGAATTTGTCTCCTTTACAACATACTAACTTTCACATTTATAATATTAATAGAATTAAAACGAGTAAGTATTTTGTTTTGTGCTGAAAATGCATACCTTTCATTTCCTCTTCCTTTTTCCTAGTCCATTGGTTTAGTTTTTCGAGCCTCTCCCTCTCTCGTTTCATGCGTTCCGACTCTATCTTCTCGTTCTGCCGATACTGCCGCATGATCTCTTCGGCCCTTCGCCGCTCCTTCTGAGTGCGCTTGCGCTCTAACCATTTCTGATACGACTCCTCACGCTGCTCCACGCTTGTCGCAGAAACCTGCTGGCGCATCTTCATTTCCGTCTTCAACTTTTCTTTCTTCTGAAAGACGACTTTCATTTTATTATACCTTTAACTACCTACCTACACTTAGCTTCATGAAAAAAAACAAAAAAGTAACAGTTTTAATGTGAAGCATACATTGCGGCGTGTGTGAGAGCTGCTTTTGAGTAATATAATGGTAAATACTTTAAATCTCAAGCATTAAGTGAGAGAGAGCTCCATTGCTCCATCTCTTGAGACATCAATTTATCAGCCAAGACCTTAATGAGTTATTTTTTTAGAATCTCATAAGCACCATCTTTTTTACATGATAGGTAGTAGTAGCATAAAATAACTAGGGATAAAGTCAATTTGCGAATTGGAATCTCGTCTGGTAGGTATTCACTTAAAAAAGAAAAATTATATTATTTTTAGTTTAACATAAGAATCTTTAGATTTAAAAATCTAGCATCTCACAGCAATAAATTATTTGTTAAATATGTACATGACAGGATATACCTACAAAATTAAGTAGGCACTAACCTCTTGCTCTTTCCGCGCTAACCATTGCTTGAATGCGTCCTGTTTCCTTTTCTCATTACGTTCTCTCTCCTCCTTGGCAGTTGTCGTTGTTGAAACAGATGCCACTGACAGTCTGAATGTGTCAGCTCCATCCTCACGGTATGTCTGGTTGAAGCGTGGTGTCTCATCTTCTATATATTTTTCAGAAGTTACTTTGACATTGGGCGGCATCATGCAAGATTTTCTCTTTATACTACACGAGGAGTCACTATCACGACCGCTAAGAAAAGGTGTAGAGTTGCTACGGTAGCTGCTATGAGGGTGAGGAGTGATATCCTCTATGCAGGAATCAGTCTGCAGTGACGTCACCGAATGCGATACTTCCACCGTCTCGATGCATATCGCTGGGTTTATATACCGAGTCTTACTCTTTCTGGAGCCCAACGACTCAGAATCACTGTGATACTGAATATTTTCACCGGCACCATCAAACACATGATGGGAGTTATTGAGGTTCAATTCCCATTCTGGCTGGTTTCGAGCACTGTCACCAAAGTTGCCCTTGCTGTACGGGCTCGCCATTTCCGTACATTTAAAACAAATACATAATTAATATACACAAACAATTACAATCGTATATGTATGCTATTAAATCAAGGCTAAAATAAATGTAAAAAATCTAAGACATGTACATTCACAGTCAAACTTGACTCAAAAATGTAAACGTCAAAAAAGCACGATTTTAAAATTTCGTATGTACTATTTTGTATACATGGCCAGTATTTCACATAGGAACTCATCCGTTGACATTAAAAAAATAATCACCGCTTTTGGACAAGTTACCGATATCCTCCCTTTCATAAATAATTACTTACCGAAGGCACCCACGAATTCACTTACTTACGAATTTGGACTGGGTGCAAAGGGGAACCATTCCCCCTTCGCCTTTGCACCCAATCCAAGAGCCCCTGATACGTTGTCACCTCAACGGTAATTAAGCCGTAGATGAGAGATGGCACCCTCTCATATGCCACAAGTCGCATTGCCTACCCTTCTCGTCTCGCCTTCGTCGGACCTCCGCCCTATGGATTGCTACTACTTGACCAAATTTTAAGCAGGGCTTTACGAAATAATATGCTAAGCACCTATTTAAGAGGTGGGATTAATAAAGGACATTGGGCAAAAATGTATGGACACTACACCCACGTCCGCCACGGCTTAAACTACATTTGTTTGTAAGGTATTATAGTCAAGATGATCTGTGCCAAAGCGCATCATATTCCATCCCGGGGGTCTTTAGATATTTTAAGTTAAATGTGTACAAGTACTACAACGAACGAACATTAATGAAACAAGGGAATTAATTTAGTTAGTTAGTTCGACTCTACATAGGGTGCTAAGGAATTATGGGAGTACTTCACAAGGTGCAAGGATGCCCTCTTATGTTATTCTGCCGCGCTAGAGTAAATCAAAACATCCCCGCATGGGTTGGGTTTTTTTAAACATTCTGTTCGTTATAGTAAATTGTTTTCTATGTAAGCGACCACAGATTACACAAACTTATCCACGCTTCGGAGAACACATGATAATCGTGTTCCAATATCCAAAGCGTGTTAGATAAAAATCAATCAAGTAGCAGGGAGCGCACAATCACTACGAAGTAAGACGAGTCAACTATTTGCAACTGCAAGTCCTTCATCATCCCTAAACCGTTTTGAAATGTCTCAGTAAGAGCAAGTGCAGGATGGTCGGCAGGCTTTGTCGTATATCTGGTTGTATAGTACGATATATCATATTATTATGATTACTAATAATATAAAATGAAGGTACTATAAAATGAATTTATTCAGCTACTTAAATATGCCCATGTGTCATATCTATTGAGTACCAGGATATTTTTACAGTGTCATATCATTTGACTACCAGGATATTTATTTTCGGTGTCATAATAAAAAAGGCTAGTTTTTCATTGATCTATCGATTCATACTAATTACATTGTTGGCGGAGCTGGGTACGTTTTGCCCATTGTCCTTTATCCCTTAATAAAAAAAAAGGATTTTTTGGCAGGATCGGGAAGCGTCACTTTAGCAGTTTTGTTTTTCTTGTTAAAAATTGTGTTGTGGCGGATGTTAGTGTCTAATAATGGTGGATTATAAACCACGAAGTGTTCGGGAACATGCAAGTGTTGGCAAGTGAAACAAAATAGCGGAAAGTGTCTTTCAATGTTCCTTCAAGAAGTCCACGGGGAGGTTCCAGTAAGTCCCCACACTTTTACTGAAACATCCCTATGTTCCCCTTTCCCTAAAGGGGGATTGGATTGACTTGACTGCCACTTTGACTTGATTCATTACTTTGACCACGAGTGCTATAGTATTTGTAAACATTTTAACACTTAACATTGGCTAAATGCACTAGCCGTGCGAAGCCATTTAGAAAATATATATATATATCTATACCGCGTAATTTCGATTACTTGCGTCTGTATAAAGAACCTCCAGCTCACAGGAGGTAGAAGTGAAATAACAGTACCTTTGGGCGTATGTATAATAAAATAAAACATTTCCACCAATCAGCCCACCGGGATTCCAACCCAAGACCTCTATTGGCGATAAGCACCCAGAAAACCAGTACTTACCACTCCAATGTGGAAATTGTGGTAGAAGTAGAAATAATGTATTTTTATCACATCTATTCTAAAAGAGCATGAATTAGGAAAATGGATATTCCTAGAAAATGTTTCAAACACCGTAGGAATCAATCAGGAATTTGAACAAATCACAGCCTAATCAGGTGGGCCACATTCTAGTTAGAAACCCTTTTCAAGCTCTTTTCACATAAAAAAGAAATTATTGCTACTATCGAAAATATGTGTATAATTCTTCTATCCTCTATAATCCTTCCTCTTCTTTTGGTTACATCATATAATACAAAATATTTTTGAAAATTCAGGTTTGTACGGAACGCTCAGTGCGCGAGTTCGACTCGCTCTTGGCTGGTTTTTTTTTATTAGTGTTATGAGTGACCCCCTCCGAAATTTCAGGCTGCGACCGCGCCTGTCAAAGTTATAATCTTTTTATAAATCTAATAACTTTGTCTTTTAAGTCTTTCTTCTGGAAGGATTGGTTGTTTATGCCAATTACACCAATTTTTCATCAAACGGTTTTTCACTAAATCAAAAATGTAATAAAATGTTCCTTGAGTCATTCTTGTATATGTACCTATGTATAAAATCTATGATCATCAAATTTCATGTTTTTTACAAATAAATGATGGTATTCTCCGAAACGTTTCCTTTCTCTACTTATAGGACGTAGGTATATCTTTTTTTAGAATTTTTAAATATAAATTTTCTAACCTAAGCAAATCATCCTCCGATGAGTCCGACATTTTGCTTGCTCTGCTTTAATCGGCTTCCTGTATGTAGTAAGTATCAGCGCCGATAAGCGCTGGTCGGCTTTCGGCTTTCTTTCTGTAAACGACCTAACGTCATAAATGTGAACATGTTTATTAGGTACTCTTAAAATATGTTTTACGGATTTGGACGAAATTCGGTACACGTTTATGAGTTTATAACCAGGAGAAGTTTACACAATTTTTGAGATAGGGAAAACCCATTGAAATCGTGACACATGATCGGTGCAAAAGTTGCCAAATTCCTGCATAGAGATCCGTCCATTTTTAATCCCAGAGTTAATTTCCTGTAGGATTCTCAAAAAACTTAAGTTAACACGGACGATGTCGCAGGCGGGGCCGCTGGTGTATAAAATAAAACTATGAAGTACACATTCATAAAAATGTATTTAATTTTATTGACACTGAGTACATAAGTCAATTAAATGTGACTAACAGCCAATTCATATCACTTCAAAAGTAATTAGAAATTGTCAACTCGAAACTTTATAGGCACTTTGTAACACAAATTTTGTTGATAGAATAAAGTTCCTTTATTTAAAAGTACATCGGATATTTCTTGTAAGTTCGTCTATGAGACTTTGCCAATGTACTTGTTTATGCTTAAATTAAAAAGATATTTCAAGAAGTTTAAAACCTCATTCAGTCCTATCGCGGTTTGATTTATCAGTGTATCTGCAATGGACGATTTATTAAATGTAATGTAAAAGGAATTAAAACAGGCACTGGCAGTTTCATTCTTGTTTAGCGGAGCTGAACGGCATTCGAGATGAACCTTATGTTTAAAAAAAATGTCTTTCCTCAGAAATGCTTACATATATTATTTTCTATCATTGAATTCAGGTATTTTATCATTGTTGACCACTGCAGTACTAGTAATGCTAGCACTCGCCACGCTGATCTAGCAAAATTCCCTATTGATAATAATTGGTTATATGTATTCGTAGCATATGTATGTATACGTCATCTCCGAGGATCACAGAGCAGAAAATATAAGGATTAGAGTACTTTTCCGTTCCCTGCGCCGATGGTACCGTATTTAGTTATATTCAGTTTTTAATATGTGATGCATTCGCAAGAACTTTTACTATCTTATTGAAAACACGTGAAAATGTAATAAATATTTGGCGGTAGATGACTCCACTAACCAAAACTGTTTTTAATAAAAAAAAATTCTATTGCCTTTTATACTTTAATTTCGTATTATCTATTCTTCTATTTATTTATATCAATAAAAACAGGAATTACACTCGCTTCTATTGGAATTTTAAAGGTCTCCATATTTTTATTTGATGAAATGATAATGTTCAAATTAGAATTACAAAACAAGGAGTTTGTTAATCTCATACAATGAATCAAGTTATCGATATATTAAGTAATTGTATAACTCATAATTCTAAGAGTTGACATTTCTTTCAAGCAACCAAAACGGAAAACCATTATGAAAGTGCCAGGCGAGGGTACCATAGGAGGGTAATAATATACTAATGAAAACCTATTGCATTGTCCAATCTTTAATAATTTGTTTCTAAATCACGTTTGAACAGCTTGTCTAGTCTCTGGTTAAAACACCATGGTATGTAATTATAGTAGACTTCAGTCAGTCTCATAGTTAATACATTCATATCAAGTTCATGAGCTTGCTATAAAACAGTCAAAATGTCTTGATCTGTTAAGTATTCATTAAATTTTAGTTTATTCTGCAAATTGATATTGTCAAACATTATCTAAGTGGTATGACGAAGATAGATAGCAACTGCATTGTTTACAAATGATCATGAAAATATTGAAATTACAACAAATCAGTTTTATAAAATTATATTATAATGAATAGAACCTTTGAAACTTTATTAATACTTTCCTTGGAGTTAAGTTTCACAGATGATATAGCAATAATTTATATGGATAGGTCCTCGTCTCCATACTATATAAATACAAAATTTGGAAAAAAACATCTTCAAAGGTACTCTTAAGTTCACAAGGAATTATTCTTACAATTGCATGTGACTAAAAATATACTAATGAGATTGAAGTAGTTTAGTATAAAGACTCTGCATTAGAGGAACGTGGTTTCTTGATTTTCTCAAGATTCTTGATGACAATGTCATGGAGAGAGCAGTAACGGTTGCGGATCTCACACATCACCAGCCAAAGTGAAAGATACTCCTTTTCGTCCAATTCCTATAAATAACAATAAAAAGATATAACTAGAATTCTCAGGTCAATAATCTATTAACATGAAATTCCAAAAGTCAGATAGTTCAAAAAAGGTTTTATATATTTTTTTGTAAAAAACACCTTTTTCCAAAATCTGTTAAAGTATCATCTATTACAAACTGTCAACTGTCTGACTGTCGACATACTGTATCTCATGAACATAATATGTAGTTTCATTTGAAAAACTCATAAGAAACATGATGAATTTATTTATTGATAAGGCTAGGTATATGATGATCCACAAATAGTCCGGGAGGTAGCGTTGCATTTTTGGCAGTGATTTTACGCCGACTGTTTGCCTTCCTTTACTATTTATCGCGAACTACTTATAACTGAACCAAGCGTCAGCTGGCGCACCCGCGGTGGGTGTGGAATTGGGAGGTTGCGGAAGTGGTAAAAAAAATAAAAAATTAAGTAATAGTACGCCAGCTCAAACTTTTTTCACGAATAGTTGACATCATACTGAGCTGAAAAAAAATCGTCAGCTGCATCGTGAAGGGGGGATTATGCGTCAGCTGGCCGCATGAATTTGTAAAAAAAACGTAAAATAAAGTTATAATACGTCGGATGAAATTGAACTACGTGATTCTTTAAATAATCATAAGTACGAAAATAACAATCAGCTGCGTATATAGCGGTGGAAAGACCGTCAGCTGACGCAGTAAAGGTAAGATTATTCTAGCAATGGACAGAATCTTTCTCGATATATTTTCGTTTCGTTTTATTTGTAACTAAATAAAAGAAAATGAAAAGAACCCAAAATATATTAAAAGTTAATATGAACAAAATCGAAATATAGGAATAAAAAGATCGCGAAAGTTATTCATCGTCGATGGTATCGCTATCGTCGTCGTTCTCTGACGAATCATTTATATTTTCAGTGGCAGCGGAGTCATCGACAGGTTGAACGTCTCTTTCCAAGCTAACAGAAAATCTGTTATTGTTTCGTATGAAAATGTCAATATGAAGTTTAAATCGCTGAAATGTAACGGATTTTTTTTTCCATTCAAAAAACAAAAAATCCCACATGTGATTTGTCTACGGTATTTCAAAAAACTTTCTTACAAGCATCAAGGGCAAAATCTGATAGAAAAATTGAGGCGATAAAAAAAATGAAAAAATAATGAGTTGAAAGATATTTTTTGTTGCGAATCGGCGATGCGAAATTCAATATTATTATGTCAAAATATAAATATTCAATTATCTTTTTTACGAGATTTAAGGGCAAAATCTTATAGCAACAATTAAGACGATAAAAAATTAAAAAATAATGAAACGAAAACTTTTTTCGTTGTGTATCAACGATGCAAACTTCAATATTAGTATAAAAAAGTACGTCGAAATGCGTTTCAATGAAAATAACATTCAAAAAATTATGAAGTATGACCATTACCTTGACACTCCAGATGTCGAAGGATTTTCAACGGCTATCCTGTATTTTGGCGGTAAAGCGGTGAATTGACGATAGCACTTCGCGTGATATTTTTGAAAATCGTTCAATTCCAACGGCATTTTGACACTGTTTAAAGACAGATTGTTTTTCTGTCGAATCTCCAATATCGGAGTACATTTTTCCAACGTTTTTTCAGAAAAAAATATCAATTTTTCTTTTTTTTTGCCACAGAATATACAGTACGGTTGAATCGTCGACATATTTGGACTTGCGCCCGTTCGTTCAACGAGGAGAACCGAAACTGATTGTGTACGACAAAGATCCACACGGACAGGCAGATGCTGCTTTGAAATTTTAGGGGGAGAGGCTTAGGTAGCCCGAAGGTCGTGTTATGGGTTCAAGGAAGGCCAGAATGTATCGCAAAATATGTGTTTGAAAGCGAACAGCCTCACAGCAATACTCCAAAATTTTAAATCTTGACTGGGTCAGCTGACGGTCTTTCCACCGCTACACAATCAGCTGATTGTTGTTTTCGTACTCTAAATTTTTTGCAGAATCGCGTAGTTAAATTTCATTCGGCGTATTATAACTTTATTTTACGTTTTTTTTTACAAATTCATGCAGCCAGCTGACGCATAATCCCCCCTCCACGATGCAGCTGACGATTTTTTTTTTGCTCAGTATGACATCAACTATTTATGGAAAAAGTTTCAGCCAGCGTACTATTACTTTTACCTCTTTCGCAGCCTCCTACACCCGCACCCACCGCTACTTGAGCAGCTGACGGTCGGTTAACTTATTAGTCATATAATATCAACTATCGACGTTAATATCAGCCGGCTTACTATGACTTTTGCATTTGCAACGCTACCTCCCGAACTAAAATAGCTGTATTTCAAATTTAATTAGTTATTACTTTTGTACAATAATGTTAAAACAAACATTATCACTATTTGATACCAATATTAACTCCCGCTTGACCAGTTTTTATACAAAATCAAGCAAAAAACTCCAACCAACAAAAAGTGTGGGGGTGACAGTATCTAGCAGTATATACTATAAATTTTATAAAATGTTTAAATAGAAATAAATTTGAATTACTCACTCTAACTGCTCTCCTGTAGTCATCAATGTGTGGATATTTGGCAACTTTCGATACAATCTTTGCTCTTGAAATGAAATATCGTGAGATTTGGTCAAAAAATGCAGCCGCCTCCGACTCCACAGACTGGATTTCAGCAAGTGTGTCTTCTTGTATTGATACTCCAAAGTTATTACCATCTTCAATTTTAGGAATCATAAACGAAATCCACATTTTTAACTGAAAAGAATTATAATATTAACTACAGACTTATAATCAATGCAGACTTTATGATCTTGTAAAAACTTAATTTATTAGTACAGTATATAGCGAGTTACAATAGATCTTTTAGCTTGCAGTAACTACAGTTCCTTTTGCAAAGATCCAAAATGCTCAAATAATATTAATAGAAATAACATCTCATGACTATGCGCCATATATTAAAGAGTATCTTAAATATTTTCAAAACTGATAAATTGGTTTATAAGTTAAAGAGATTAAGAGCCATATTAAAAAATTAAGGAATCCTATAAAATACTTACTAAATTTGAATCTTCAACAAGTTCCCTTATATGTGGTTTTACAAGATGTATCAGGTCACATAATGGTTTGTTGCAAGGAACTGACCCATTTGGCAAAGCATACACCCTCGTTCCCTCTAATGTAGTGTTGCTGGACACTTCAGACGAGTCCAGCCGCGGGCGTTTAGCATTAGGTTCATTGACTGATGACGCAGGTGGAGGTATTGGAATGTTTAAATCCTAGAAATTAGGCAGGAAATACACATATCAATTTAATTATTTAAATAGGGGTATTCCTATCACCAGACATCCCACTGAGGAAGCAGAATACAGTTCTAACTAAAACTTATCATATTCTTGATTGTAAACATTGTACCCAGTATGTGTAATATATGTACTATCATATGGATACTGCAAATCTAAATTTACAACTACATTTCACCAAATACTATTTAAGTTTGATTTGATGAATATATGAAATAATCTTTTTGTAAGAAAATACACCAACTACTTTCAACTTCAAATTTATAATGAACTACTGAAATACATATAAAAATAGAGCAGAATAAAACTAAATTTCTATAATCTTGTTAATGAATGCTACTACCTAATAGAATATGTGTGATAACTCAATTGAAACTATAATTACACACTATAGTATAATTATCACTGTGTATTCTGCAATCCTGTGAATACTCTCTTATAATTGCTACACCCTAACAGGGTAATGGTTCAGGCCATCACATAGAAATATAAAATCTTTATGTTAAAATGACACACAATATGCATTAATAAACAAATAAAAATATCTCAACTAAATGTCATTCACAGCATACCTGATGTACATCAGCAAAATCGCGATTCTGAAAACTTGGTGTTTCTAATAGGTCATTTAATTTCACTATCTTTTCTGGAAATCCTTTTATTATTAAATGTTCCGCTTTCTGCTTCAGGGAATCTTTATACTCTTGGACCTGAAATAAAACAGAGGGTAAGTAGCTACAGCTTGTGGACACCATTGAATCCCATGGCCGCTAGTTGAGGTTATACTAAATCTTCTAAAAACACACTAGAACATGAAAATCAACAACGCGTTGTGTAAATAATATTTAGGATCGTTACCACACAAGCACTAGTATATTCTAAGGTTGCTCACTTTAAGAATAATTTATAAAATGCTAGGATCACGCTTTGTAATCATTGTACATAGGTAACTGTCAAACAAAGCAACGAAGAATGATTTATGAGCAATTTACCTTTTTCGCTACGTCTGTCATTGTTTTAAAATATTTTATTGAATTGAAACAATATTCTTATATACTTTAAAATTAATTAGAAATGCTAATTCTAGTACAAATTCGGTAACTCATCAACTCGTGTCCGAGCCGCGAACGAAAGAAATGAGTGAATGAAATACGAAACAGACAGACGAATGATTCCATCCCATCATCTCATGATGCAATCCAGTCATTCAATCGTTCGTGAAACAAAAACGTTCCTATTGTTTAGAAGTTGCAAATAACGTTAACGCAAAAATAATTTACCTTTGCGAGAATTTCATCTAAGTTAAAATTTGTTTCCATGTCTTTCTTTTAGTTTCTCATTCAGTACTTTTTGTAAGATTATGTCATAATGTCATGGTCAGTAGACTAAATTTGTTTTGAAGTGTTTTGAACTCAATTTGGTAATTTGGATGACAACTTTATAGGCAGAAATATTCTTAACTGTCATGTTAAGTCATACATTTAAAGTCATGTCATGTCATCACAAAACTTACAACATATACCAATGGAGATGGCATAGGCGGCGAAATCTTTTCGCCAATGGATAAAATACGTGGCCACTCGACCATGTGCGTTATATAAAACTAGTTCACGCGTAGAGATGGGCGTTTTTAGATATTTGTGTCTGTGGAAATTGATGCGCGGTATCAGGTAAATCGCATCCAATGCGCGAATCGATGCCAAGCCTAGAGCATATATCAATTAATGTTGAATTGAGACGCAGTGTTGAAGAAACAATACTTATAATAATATATCGTAAATACAACCCAAGTGGTAGCTTTCCAATTACAGCATTATAGCGCATTATGCGGCATAATGCTTAACGTTGAGTGTTTCAACTACAGCAACGCTTCGCACAATCGAGCACTCTCAAAAGTAATGCTTTCGTGTAATGCGTGCAATCGTACCAACTTAGAGAGAAAATTAACAAGTGTTTTTTCTTTAAGTTGGCATTGATCGAAATAACTTATTTTTTATTTTTTAATTATTTTATTTATTTCTCTCCACAAACATCAAACGGATCATAGTAAACGTAGGTTATTAATATACATACATGAACGTGTCTGTGGGAGACTGTAGTCTAAACTAAGCAGTAGTCTACCTGCATTTTAGAGCTCCAGGCCTCCTACCCTCAATACAATTTTAAAACAGTCCATAAAAACCTAAAAAAGAAAAAATGATGTGGTGTCGTGGGACACCAGGTAGGAACGAAGTTCCTTCGGCTAATGTAGAATCGACACAAATTGCAAACTCGCTTGTGTAAGCGACTGTCGCGCCTGCGCACGTCTCATTTAACGGTTTTATTCCACGCACTTTTTTCCACGGATTTTTTCTTACGGTTTTACTATCACATTTTTTTCAGTTCGGTCAGCTAGTGTTCGTAAAGATAGCTAGGCAAGACTGGCCCACAGTTTATAATAAACTACAATGTCACAATAATCCAGTAATGCAGCCCCGTCGCTCTGCCACACCCCTGGACTTAACCACAGTTTAGTATAATATACGACAATAATCCAGTGTTGGTATAATGCCACAATAATTTGGGGTTGCACCCCCGTCGCTCTGTCACCTCCTGATAAGTACTCACCTTGTAATCATAATCATGTCTCACAGGCGTTACTGGTCCACAGCTTGATATAACTTCACAAATATCCAGTGTTGGTATTACACCAATATCACAATATTTCAGTGATGCACCCTCGTCGCTCTACCACCCCTTATAACTTCACACATATTCAGTGTTGGTGTAATATCTCAATATTTCAGTGATGCACCCTTGTCGCTCTACCACCCCCTATAACTTCACACATATTCACTGTTGGTGTAGTATCACAATATTTCAGTGATGCACCCTCGTCGCTCTACCACTCCCTATAACTTCACACATATTCAGTGTTGGTGTAATATCACAATATTTCAGTGATGCACCCTCGTCGCTCTCTCTCCTGCCGTAAGGAACTTCGTCGCGCCTGCGCACGTCTCATTTAACGGTTTTATTCCACGCACTTTTTTCCGCGGATTTTTTCTTACGGTTTTACTATCACATTTTTTTCAGTTCGGTCGCGCAGAAAATCCCTATCCCCTCCAAGCCTGCCGTAAGGAACTTCGTTCCAATAAGTATAATTATGTATATATTTATTTATGGTAAAAACAAATTTAAAATAGAAATCATAAAACTGTGCATATGTGTGTGTGATAGTGTGTATATGTTTGTGTGTGTGTGTTAAATTTTTAACTTACTAAAAGTTTTTCAGTTTCATATGATTTGCTGAGGAGCCATTGTGTTAGTATCTTTTTAATTTCATATTTGCTTTATATTTTATATTGATTTGATTTATATTGATTTTTTTATTATTGTGCAAATAAAAAATTCAATATCAATCAATCAATCAATATTCAATGTATAATTTTTTCCCTATCATATAAAAAATCTATTAGCAAACAAGGTGCGTGAACTTTCAACTATACATACATTTAAGTGTCTTCTGGATGTTGTGGTAAGCGGTGTATAATTTATGTTAGTGTGTTGCTTAAGAATACTCAAAAGAACAAACAATTGCCTAACCGTTAAAACTTCAGCATCTTGATATAGAGTTGTAGTTGAATAAAGTCTAGGTTTAAATAGGCATATCTTTAAGATCAGTCTCTGTGCTCTTTCGAGTTCGATTAGTTTTGACTTTGCTGCTCCACCCCATGATGTTAAGCAATATGATATCACAGACTGTGCTAAGTGCTAATCAGTTTACATAGCAACAGATGTGATATCATATTGCTTAACATAATGGGGTGACTGACTGTGACTGTCAAACTCCATAGTAGTCTGACAGTTAATGCCGATATATCGCTTTATCATATCTCGTTTCGGTGGTCATGCTAGAGGGGATGGTCTTTCTATCTGCTACATGTCTTAATTGCTTGAATACAAATACAAGTTTTCTTAATTTCTGTGAAATGTTATGTATGTGTTCTGTAAAGTTAAGATTTTTGTCTATATTTACGCCGAGATATTTCATCTGTGATGTAACGTTTATAATTGGGCATTGACATGTTGTTAAAGGTGGGATTTAACATTTATGAGCGAATAACTTGAGATTTGAAGGTATGCTACAATTACGAATAGAGAAACAAATGTATTTAGTTTCCTCTGCATTTAATGTCAGACTATAGTGGAAAGCCATTTATTAACAGTGTTAATAAATCCATTCTGTGCAAGATTAAAAACTTTCTCCCAAGTATCTGCCTTAAAAGTTAGTGCAGTGTCGTTTGCATAGTCGATGTTATTTCACAATTTTCTAGTTTCAAATTAGACAAATCATTCATATGACATAAAAATAGAGTCGGGCCAGTGATACTCCCTTGAGGAATTCCATAGCGGACTGGTTGTTCCGACTACTGCTATTAGCAATTTTAACAATCTATGAATGATTAGATAGGTAATCACGAAACAGATCTAGCTGAGTTGCACGAATTCTCATCCTTTCAAGTTTGTCTAGAAGTATAGGTATCGCTACAGTATCAAATGCCTTTTTGAGATCGAGGAATATTGTAATTACCTTTTGGTTTTCATCCAGTTTCTTCGCAACTCTTTGTACGTAATTATGAACCGCATCATCAGTAGATTTACCAGCCCGTAAACCGTATTGTGTATCAGCCAACAATTTCCTTGATTCCAGGTAACTTGTATGCAGCTTAAGAATAGCTAGAAGAATTTCGACGTGGTCCGTGAGGGCCGCGGTAGCATAATTGGTCAGCGCATTCGCCCGGCTTGTGAAGGGTGCGAGTTCGAGTCCCGTCTGCTGCCTGGTCCGCGTGGATTTTTTTCTAGTTATATTTTCTTTAGATTTAAATACACTTTAATAAGCTTTACAATAGTTCAAATCAAAGTGGGTAAATCAATTTAACGATCAAGTGAACAAATCACCATCTTGTATTCAGTATTACCAGGCTCAACCATTTAAATACTACTTTTACTCTGTATTTAGATTTATTTTAAAAATATCAATGATTATTTTATTAAACATTTCTACAGTTCCTATATGTAAAAATGTTTAAATACGTTTCATAGTTTACGAATCGTTCGTATCTCTCTCTCTACAGTCAAAACACTTTAAGAAAAGTTTACAGACAGGGCTGTATGGACTCAGAATCTTTTGCCAGTCCCAACAGGGACAAATTGACCAAAAAAAAAGAAACATAAATGAGTTTTTGGCGGGATTTCATCGAGTGTGGTTGGCGTCTTATTTTAATTATTGTTAAATTCGTTCATAGTGGATATTGTGAAATAAAATTGGTGTGATTTTGTGTTACAACTGTCTGCGTAACTGAAGAATTAGTAGAATCGTCAAAATATACGCTATTCCGGTCAAGTGGACGTGAGATTTTTATAGTAGTATTGACTACCTCACAGAAGCTTATCGAAAAAGCCAGCTCGATACATTTCGTGCCAAACACTTCAAGAAACATTAGAATGCGTCACACCGACATTCTAATGTAAAAAGAAAAACAGAATAATTTAACTTAAGACTAGGCTGTATGGGCATTGTTCCCCTTGCCTTCCCTGAAAAGGGAGAACTTAACTAAAAAAAAAACAAATGAAACGTCAGGACACGGGACAAAGAGTAGGGATATCGAAAGTTGAAAAAATATCGATATATCAATACATCGATCTTTTAAAAAATATCAATATCGGCTTCGATATAACGCGAAAAAAACATCGATATATCGGAGCAATTTTCCCAAAAATATCGTACAGTATCTCACGAAATATGACACGCGGAATAATAATGGAACGAAAATTATCTCCCTAATAATAGACCCTATTTTCGAATGATGAAATTGATTGCAGGGCCTCTCAGGTAAATGATTGCAGGGTCTCTTTCGTAAACAAGACTAGATAGTCACACACTTCACAGAATATAATGGAAATCAGCACAACCAATTCACCAGCGAAACAGATTTACAAATAATAGACAATACTAAATACAGCACAGATCATAGATATGTTTAATATCATTAATCTGAGATCCAGTTACGATTTTTCCAGATACGAATTTAGTTAGATCGTGATATACCGCTAATAATTAAAAAAATATCGTTTTTGATA